TTTTTCAGGTACAAAAGTTTTTCACAGAAAAAAAAACTTGACATTGTTGTAAAACTAATACATTCCTCGATCAGAATCTAAAATGTGTAAAATACATTAATATGTTTTAATATGTTCAAATATGTTCGTCGTTTATACGACGTTTATAAATACATGACGACATATTCAAAAATTTACAATATAAAAAAAATAATATTTATTTATATTATTTACTTCATGAAAATAATTGTCCACCTACCTAGAATAATATAATACGAGCATTAAAAAAAAAAAAAAACATGCAAATGCAAGAAGTTCCGAATCTTAACTATCATATACACAATTTAGCTAGTGCACCTAAAAAAAAGTATAAAAGCGCGGCCCTTGGCTGTTTTATTTTCGGTAAAACGTCATTGCTACGGATTGTCACCGGCGATACATTTCTGCACCGCCACTGTCGCTGCTCTTGACGAACGATTATCGCACGCAACGGCACTACTGTTTTATTAAATCGAACCTATGGCCGTCGGGGGAAACGAATACTGACATAACGAAATGCCAAAACACAATACCTATGCGAAAACAGCCGTGAAAAATGTTTAGACAACTGTCTATGTAAAATGAGCTTTCGGGACACGTGTCTTGTAACACAATGTTCGAAAATTGGATTACGTGAAGCCGACAACAACCTGCACACTCAATTTTGAACGATACCGTATTATCGTTGAACACAATGTTTTATTTTATTATTATTTTTTTTTTTCTTACCAAATAAATTTAACGGTCGGTAATTTGTGAGTAAAGTTATTAAAATTTTAATATTAGAAACCCAATTATTATTGTAACGGTATAAAAACGTTACCCCAAAACATAATACAATAATGTGTAATAATATATATTCCATTTTTAAAAATAATTACAGATTAGTTATTTATGTTTTTACGAAGTACGGATATTACAAAACTTCCATATTATTTTAAATTCCAAGTGTAGAGATATACGACGAGAAGCTACCTTCTCGTCTATTGGTTTTACAATCACGAGTGTTTTATATTATATATATACATTTTTTTTTTTATCTTTGAAACGCACATTTGGAAGTAGTAAAAGTTTTTTTGCAGCCTTGTATAGATTGGAAATCGAACACAGATGGTACTTTAGATGGGTCATTTTTGAAACTTCCAAGTAGTTTTATAAATGTTATCGTAAACTGACCAAAAATGTGTTAAAATGTACGGCACATCTCGTTTTAACAATATATCAGCTATATATTTCGAGCTACGTTCACTCAAAACCAAACGCGAATTCATTTTTGTTCTAGTAGACTGCATATCGTAGGTAATAAAACACTTCATGTAAAGAACCCAGTGGTTACGTCTAAATCATATTCAAATCATTCGATATGTCATATATTCAGTTACCTAGAACAGAGAATGAGTGTATGGCAATTGAAATACAGAATAGTCGAATAAAATTGAAAAGCGTATAATGAATATGACAATAATTGTTACGAATTATTCATACGGTACAACATTTACGTTTTACTAAACTGGACTCGTTTTAAATTTTGAAACAGCTTATTGTTATTATTTATTTAGCTATTTAAAATTGCCATTTAAAATTTAAACAGAAATTATGTTCAAAAAAAATTCTTATGTATATTCCAAAAAACGTGGGTTTTCCTTATTTTTTTTTTTTTTTTTTACTTTCACCAAAATGTTTCAATTCGATATTTGTTAATGGAATTTAAATACATAACGCTGTAGATTATTGGTTTATCCTTGCCCAAAAATACGTATTTTACTTAAATGCATACATATCCATGTATAATAAACTACTTATATCTATAACAATTTATACATTTTTAATATATTTTTTTTTTTTTGAAAACAAATTTTAAATTGGTTATAAATTACAACCTAACACATACATTATTTGGTTTAAAAAATTGACCGTTTACAAAATTAAATTAAATGAAATTGTATACGTTTTTAGAGATTATTAGGATTTCTAATGTTTGATAAATTAAATAATATCTTATCTGTATAGTATCTAGGACTGGGATTTCAGTGCTCATTTAACTTTTTAAAGATTCGTTTCAAGTACTTTTGAATGAGAATAAGAATATTTATTTTACATTTTTGACAAATTTTGATACTTAAGTCATTTTCTTAATTTTTGAGAGCATTTTAGAAGTTTATGATGCATTTTTTGAGTTTTTTTTTTACAAATTTGAATTTTTAATTTAAAATTTAATTTTCAGATTTTTACACACTGTTATGATTTTTATAAAAATATAAACAACTATTAATTAAACACTCGTATTACTAGGTATATTAATTTGTAAATATCTAAAAAAAAAAAAAACTCGCATATGGTATAGCTATGGTGTGACGGCAAAGAAGCTTTCGATGTTTCCGGATATGAGGAACGAACTCATATAATATACTACCTTCCTACCACCCTTTGTCCAATCTCCAGTGATGCTGTCTGTAGCGTCAGCTTTAAATTAATACACTGTTGATCCTTTCCTTCGCTACCTACCTACCTACCTGCTGCAGAACGTCATTTGCATTCATAGTGGTAACGTTATATGTATGGGACGACGACGCGTGAATATTCTGCAGCTCTCCTGTCTGTGATTTCTGCACCTCGGAATGACAGTGCCAACGACAAAACGTGTTTGGAGGGGATTTTAATCTCAACGTTAACGACGTCAGTAGAGCACATTTATATCAGATATATTAATGGAATCATACTTGGTGTGTGCAAAGTAATACTCGATGCGTGTAAAATTACAAATTGATTATTCTGATCGCTATTATTTACACAAATTTGGGGTTTATTTTTCAGTTGTTATATGAGTTGTTTAACGATCTTATTTATGATAATATCTTAAAAATATCATCGATGATTCAGCGTGTCATTGAGGCATGTCAACTTTTGATACTCAAATAGCAATACATTATTTTTAAACCAGCGATCAAAACAATATTTTTTTGAATAATTTGATTGACACGACACTAATAAGAATAAGACGTGCCTTTTATGTGCTAAAGTATACAATTGTTTTAGAGAGGAGCTGTAAATATTGTATAGTTTAGATAGGAAGCGTCTTATATCTTTTAAACAATTAAAATATATAACGAAAAATTTTGAGTTTCTATTTGGAAATCGATGATCAATGTTTAGCGAAATATTATAAATTAAATATAATTACAATTATTTTATACGATTTAAAAAAAAAAAAAAACTCAAATTAAATTTTCTCAAAATATCTACGATAAAAGAACCGCGAGGATGGTTACAACTCTATATCGTTAAAATGACTGTACTTATGATTTTCTACCACGGTTGAAAACTGGCTAGGTGCCATAGGCGCAAATAGCCCAAATATATGTGGGATGCTTAATATCCCGTAATGTTGATTAATATTGATTATGTATACATATTATTTACTTAATGCGCAAATCATTGGATGTGCCTATGCTGGGTAGGATCGAGAATTTAACACTTCTACACCCCCGTCGCGATGACGATTCGATTCGATAGTCACACATTGTTTGATATACGCGAGATGGCGTGTTAATAATAATAAAATTGAGCGTGGCAATTATTATAAACGATCGCTATAATAAAACGATATTGTGCGAGTATATACTCGTATATTTAGTTATCGTTGTAATAAACTGATAATATCGACGAATTTTAGTAAAATAATATAACGACACATATTTTATGTTATGCATAAAGTTATAAACGGCGACTGGTTATTTGAAATTTACAGCTTGCCATATAGATGCAATGTATTTTATTACACGGCTGACAGTAAAAATTAAACCCGTTTTATCGAATATTATACGTAGATATACGATAATTATTATTAGGTAGGTACCTATAATATAATAATAGATTTGGATATTCAAATTTGGACGTACATCAAACAGGGTTAGACTATAAATCGTATAGAAAAACAGGGTTAGACTATAAATCGTATAGAAAAATCGTCTAGAAATAATATTTATTAAACCAACCTCGAAATATACCTAGCCGCCCCGTTTCAGCCTTATGACTTTCATGCCCAATATACTTTCACTTGAAAGCGTCTTCACTGTCGGCTTACTTCTTGCCAACCAATTACCTATGACCCACTGTGACCACTGATAGCTTATTATAGGCCCCTAATAACCTATTGCAGTTCCTAACGCCTTATTGATTGACCCTATAGTATAAGTTTGCAGCTTAAAAAACTGGCTAAATTATATTTTTCGTTATATTATACTCGATTCGTCAATTACTGTAGTTGTTCACGTAACGCGCCAACCCCTAGATTTTACTCAGTAATTTTTATTGTGGCCTTCCAAACGAATTTCCGGTGGCCCGGTGGCCTTGTCTAACCTTTGAAGTTTTCAACCAGTGCTTAGCCCATCATTGAAAACAAGAAGTTTGGAATATAGTGTAATTTAGTTTATATACTGAACCAAGGATTTTTCATTGCTATCAAAGAATCACTAAGTCCGCTAAATATCACTTTCTGATTTTTGAGCGGGTAAATTTCTAGTCTCAGTCGTATTTTTCTCCCATAGTCAATCTAATCTAGAAATCAACAAAAAATTAACAAATGAATACTTTGTTTTTTTTTTAGTTTCTTTTTTTTTTAATTATTTAGAACTTTTATTAGGAATGTAGACAGATATTTTGTCAAATAAAGTGGTAACAAATGAAATAAAATTCCGCATTTTTTTAATAAAATATGTTACGTAGAGTTTGAAGAATTATTACTAGGTATTCAAAAATGTTATCCAAGGAAAAACCAAAAAAGTATTTAAGGTTGAACTGTTGATAATTAAAAAAAAAATATATTTCTTGTGAAATACCATTGGAAGGAAATTCCGCATCGTCCAAGTTAAGAAAAACTGTTTTTCGAGAATAGAGAAAACACTTCGTAAAGTAAAACTAATAATTTATTTGCTGCTCTCAAAATATAAAACTTACGTTAGTATTTTATTTTTTTTTTTTCCAGATGAAATTATGTTTTCCGATCTTTGTTGTCATGCTCACGACTGCGGTGGCGACTCCTTGTATGTTCAACAGTATGTGTACGTGCAAAACGGACGAAGCATTAAAAATGCACATTGCGTGCATTGCAGTTCCCTTATATACAATACCAGGTAAGTAATACAAAATAAATGCATATTATTATTTTACAATTAGCATAAAGATATTTCAGTTTAAAAAAAAAAATAACGCGTATAGACTATAGGGATTATATTACCGGATGTTGTTTTGTTTTTCAATGTTTCATTCTACGTCTTCTTTTTCAACTACTAATAAATAGCCAGTAAATTATTCTAGAAAATATGCAATTTTGTAAATTAGAAAATGACTTATAATAAAAAAAAAAACAAAACTCAGAATCAAACAATTTTTCAGAAATGTAAACGTATGAAAAAAAATTAAACGCTTTTAAACGTATGAAATCAAAATCTGAGCACTTTTACATTTAACTGTTGAAAAACAGTATTTCAGACACAGTAAATATTTTAATATATATTTTTTTTTTTTTTACTGTCATTTAGTTTCATTTGGTTTCAAAATATTCGTAGAGAATTAAAATTTTGACAGAAAACAATATATGCTTTTTCTAGCTGTGGTAAAATTTTTAAAACATTTGAGTTATTTTTTAACTGTCATACTGTGTCAACTATGTCAACCATTTTGTCGTTAAAAATAGGACATTTTTTGTATGAATTTCAGTATCAAATTTTAACAAAAATCTTAAATATTGCGGTCTTTTAAAACATGTATAACAAACTTCGCTTCAAATCTCGCTTCGTTTTCAATGATTTATCGTTGCTTACAAGTATAAATTAAATAAATTTATGTATCCTATCTTCCCAAGTGCCTATTCACAACAATCGTACACCCGTCCACATTACCAGCTCTTTTTCAAATTTAATATTTTTGCGAGCGAATAATAGTTGTTAGATAATACACATTATATGATACAAAATATTACAAGAATAAAAATAAATTCCCAAATATTGTTTATCCTTACCTTTTCGAATTATTTACATTTCACTTGTTATTTGATGGAACTTAAACGAATTTATTTGTTAAAAAAAAAAAAAACCTTTCTATAAAACGGTATGGTTCCACGACAATAGACCGAAAACATATAAATACATAATATTAAACTAATAAATAATTAATTAATTAGTAATTATACTTGATAAATGCTTGTAATGAAAAATTGAAACATGCAATAAAAAAATTAAAAATGATTATAATATATTTTAAATATTTTAAATAAACTATATTATATTGTATATTTTATCAGTCATACTTGTGATCACAAATTGTACGTGATTGCACCAGTGACCTATGTTTGACGCTATAGTATCAGAACAAAATGTTGATTTTTTTATTTTATATATAACAGGGGACCACTCTAGTCGGCATCTTATCATAGTCGTTAAAAATTCGAACTAAATGTCAACAAACAATGACCATTCACTTATTATACCTCCAGAATTATCTTAAGTCTCAACGGTATGCTTTTTAATGTTTTCGTCTACAAAATTCACTTCATTTTGAATTGTGTTAGCAATGTGATTACGATCGGAAGGGTCTTTAATAATTCCATCATGTTTTATATTAAACGTCTTTTAAATAGTTCACCTTCTAAATAGTCGTTTAAATAGAATACACTGCCAACATTCAACATCGTTATGATTTTTTTTCTTTGTGATATAGGAAGCAAGTTCCTGGAAACTATTTCACTGTAACTGACGTTTTCCTTGCTGTGACTAAATATACTGCATGTTCGAAAAATAAAAACATTAAAGCGTTACACATTCGCAATATTAGAAGACCGCTAAATGACAAAAATCAAATTGTAATCGCGAACTTATCGAATCCTAAAATAATAGACTGCAGTTTTCCCATAGTGCCTATATAATATATTATACTTTTGGCCTGTGTAAAATATTTAGAAAACGAAAATTGAAAAATAATTCATGAAATGTTTGTACAAAATTTAAATTGACGGATATTTCGCTTTATGTATTTTCACTCATACTTGTATTCGCTCATTTGACTTTCGCGCATTTGCGTTCGCTATTTTACTTTCAATCTATTATCGGGATACCACATGTCCACGTGTGTGTTACATACATATATATTTTATACGTATGTACAATACACATGGCTAAATATTTTTGTTGCGTACTTAGTATTTTGACATACGGAATATAAAATAATATTAGAAGTATGCACCAAAAAACAGTTGTGCATTGTTTGTGTGTGCCAGACAAATAAGGAACAAGGAATAAGTATTAATTTTACATTATTAATAAGTACTGTTTATTATATTATAAATGTATAAGAACAATTATTCATTAAAATTAAAACATAAGTTCTCGTCAAGTTGTCCCCTCCAAAACAGATATAGATAATTTATAAAACAAACTTTATTTTTGTTTATTATCATTTTTTTTTTTATAAATGTAATACATTGTTAATGTAAATATAATGCAAGTATCTAAATGGATTTTTTTAAAAATATGAAACGTGTAATCAGCTTCTTCGGAAGTTCACCTAATAATAATATATTTTAAGCCTGAGCTTCATAAATTAGCTTTATTATAATTAAAATATAAATTGTTGTATTACTTATACCTACGATACAAACATGTAGTACCCACTATATTTAATAATAGATATATTTTTACTAATGAGAAACTACGAGATATTTTATAAAATATTGTTAGTTTCTTAGTAAAAATCAAAAAAATCGAAAAATTATTTGTAACAAGTCACGTTATTTCCGTATACTGACCAAAAATCTGTAAAAATGCAACCACTCATCTCAAAAAATTTTGTTTTTGGAGGAGTAATTTTTTGATTATTCTGTTCACATAATATTGTAATATCCGGAGGAAAGTTTAATTTAAACGAATAATCCGCGTTTTTCATAATAACATTGAAGGAAAAAATCATCTTTAGGAGGATTTTTTTCTATATAAATAAATGCGTGAAAATAATTTTAAAAATCATAACGGCTAATCGATTATGCATATACATTTTGAAAGTAATAGTTATATTATCAATATTCTTCTCACTTTCTAAAATTATTCTTCCACTAAAAATGTATAATTTTCAAGTAGGTTTTTAAACTAACTTTGTAAAGGAATGAAATTCTTAGATTACCACCTTAAAAATTATTTCAGATTCTTAACGTACATATCAACCCATTCCTCACTAAGAATTAGCTTGAATATGGCATGCTCATTTGTATAAATATATATATATATATATTTTTTTTTGTGTGTGTGTCTCTGAACACCCTTTCTAACAAAAATCTTGTTCCAATCAAAAATAGTTACAAAAAAACTTTTTTGTTGTATGTTGAATATTGTTAGGCGGATGTAATTTTTTTTTTTTTTTTTTTGATTTTCAAAGCGGTTTTTAGAATAATTTGGAATAAATGAGAAAAAGAACATATATTAATACGTAAATAAAATATTTATCGCATTATAACGATTTCATTATTTTAAACTTGTTCGATTTTTGTATTCTACCAGCAACCATACTCCGAATTTCAAGAGTAACATCTTTTCTGAAACACATTTTGTCTATACCCTGTTTCAAAAAAGAACATATCGCTTTCACGACCAGTTTTCGTTCGGCGGCGCGCATCTCAACCAGGTAGCACCGGTTAAAAAAAAACGATATTTCTTAACATGGATCTAACATGAATAAGACGGGTGATATTTGATAGTTGAAAAGTACCGGTGAAAAAACTTTTGAAAAAAAAAAACACGAAACTGTAGGTCATTAACAGTTTTATTCTTTCCGATTTTTGTTGTTATTATGTTAAAAATAATTGTAGAGGCCTGAAATTTTCTCAGAACATTAGTATAAACCCTTTTTGGACGTAGTAAACAATTTTAATGCCATTTTGTGATGTTTAAATGCACTTTTAATTGTCGAGTGTTTTAAATTCAAATTCGTAAATGGTAAAAGTTACAACATTTCTATACTCGTTTAATTGAACTTCTTTCAGAATTATATTTCGACACAGGTATATATTAAATAAATTCATGTACCTATTTTACCGTTTAAACTATTTTGGTTTCAAAAACGTATTTTTGAAACACATACATATATTTTTATGTCGAAAACGTATTACAAAAATGCTTTTTGTGTAGTTCAATAATTATTACATAGTTGTATTTGTGTTTTTAGAAGTACCGCCAGATACTCGAATAAGCCACATGGACGTTATGTCATCGGACATCGAAGCTGTCGAAAGCGATATACTTCAAAACACGCGTATCGAATCGCTACGGTTGATGAACAACAGAATAGGAATTATTTCTGAAAAAGCATTTCAGTAAGTATGGCATACTATTTTTTTTTTTTTGTCAATATAATATTCCTTTTATTCATTTTTAAATTTTAAACCGGGTATCATTAACTGTGTGTTTACCAATATACTTTCTTTAATTTGGCCATTATTAATTATATTTGTGTTTTAGATCATTATTTTTTTAAATATATTATTATTTGGGTATTCGGGTAAATCAAATAACTTATTTTATATATATAAGATTAATAAACAAAACCGAGTAAAGTATGTAAATATAGATATCAAAATATTATGTTGTATAGGATAAAATGTATTTACTGCAAAGATACACTACACACATATTGAGATCCACTCACAAAACTAACATAATTAATTATAGACTATAGGTATCTCGTAATCATATTTATTTTATTTGTTATTTATGTTTAGAGAAAAATCCGCTTTTAAAGTGTAAATTTAAAAAATTAAATAACATTTTATTTATAGAAGCTTAACAAGTATAAAAATTGTACACAGAAAATGTTTAATAATAAAAAAAAGGAAAAATAATAGGTATAATCAAAGTAAGAGAAAAGCAATATGAAACGTTAAATTACGCGGTTATTTAAATACCACAGGTTATAATATGGAGATTATATTTATTAGATCATTTTATGTTTTACAAAAGTTTAGTAACTTGTGAAGTTATTATCAATTCTGCGTACACGAAAATATAATTATGGTGCATTATTAAACCGTTTGCTTTTGCCAAATATAATTTGTAGTTTTACTGTCTATTGCAGTAATTCGTTTTACGAATTTGTTAGCATAAATAATGTGAATTATAATATAATATTGTTTATGGTGTTTAAATCCGATACATTATGGATTTTTTTTTAAAAAAAAAGATAATTGGGCAAGTTTTGGTTTTTTGAAATCGAATCGAGTTTTGTCAAGTATTATTTTTTAAGTTGCGTGTTCGAAAAAATTAAAAATCTTAAGAGTACTAAAAGAAAATTGGGTCAAGTCAAATCGAGTACTCTACTCGTATCAACTCTAAAAATAGTATTCATATTTTATTTTGAACTAGCTGTATTATCCGGTTTTACCTACCACAGTGTATAATAAAAATAAGATTTTAAAAATACTAAAACCTTTCTCCCCATGGAAATAATTAATGATGAAACAAGTAAAAAAATACGATAGTATTTTTTTCGTATAATCTATATGAAACCAGAAATAAACAAAAACAAAATATTAAATTTCCCATTCAATTAACTCTCTAAAAGGCTAGAACTAATAATGCTAATCATTTGCTATGACATTTTCAGCGAAATATGTCGAGCAGTTTATGAGTCTATCAACAAAAACCATTTAACAATTGCATTTTACATTACATAGAAATACTCTACTTGGGTCGAAATTTTTCATAAGTAGTATTCATTTTTCATTAAAAATATAAATCACTATTCTTATAGGATTAGTGGAAAGTAGGTACGGAGCTTAATTTTAGATTCCGAGCGTAGCGAGGGAGCTATTGGTTTTACATTGCTATTTATTTATTTCATTGTTCTAGACTATGGACACGTTTTTTTCCCAGTAAACTTGCTCCGATGTATAAGTTTAAAGAGGTAATTTTCTGATTTTCAACGCCATCTTTTAAATAAAAGCATTTAAGTAAAAAACATAGGAAAAAGTACAATTTCACGATTTCATTATTGTATAAAAACACGGACGACGTTTTTTACCAGAAAAAAATATTTAATCCAAAAATCACAAAATACCTATTTTGTTGCCTTTTTGATTTCCTTTCGTATGGTATCGTTGACAAAACTGTTGAGTCATTTTTGAGCTTTTAAGGAGTTTAAATTTGTTTTCCATAATTTGGCTATAAATTTACTTAGGGGCTTTAAACTTGGTAATAACACTTATATTGGACTTACCTAAAGGTGGTAAAATTTTGAAAATAATCTGACGGCTTTTCTTTTTTTATAAGATTTTTAAAATCAAATTTAAATTTCGAAATTCGCAAGAATTATGTACTTCCGAACTACGCTCGAAATCGTCTTTTGTTAAGCAGTAGTTTATCGTTTTTTAAAGATATAAATGAAATAACCTTATGTATCCTTATCTTCCTAATTTTCCACCTAAAACAATGGCCGCTCCCATCCCCAGTATCAGCTTATTTTTTTTTTTTTTAATTTGGATATTAATATCTATTTTGAAAATGATTATATTTTGAAAATTACAAATCATTATGTTTATGTAGTAAATATATATATTTAATTAGTATACAATTTTGAAAATGTAAATAAGATTCAACAAACTATTCTATAACGATTAAGAAAATCAAAATCGTATATTTACTTAAAATAATAACCAACATAATGGAATACCCATTTTTAACAAGATAAAACTATAATAAATTAATGTACAGGACGGTATAAATTATTGTATATACCGTTTGTTTAATGACTACTTAAGGTTGCCTACATATAATTAATTATTTGGAGTTGTTTGGTTCTCATTTGGTCCGTATTTATTTTGATACTGAATAATAAAAACACTGCAACGAATTATAAAACAAAAATTAGCCTCTACGTATATACATAAATGTACGGTTTGTCAGGTTAATGAATGTAATATCAGTTTAGTTAGTTGAAAACAAAGTTAACTAGTTGACACGTTAAATGTTAATTGCTCTTAAAAGTTGAGTTGAAAGTTTATTTGAAAATTGCATCAAGTTACATAAATTATGAATAAAATTGTATTGACTCCGTAAAACCGTTCGAAAATTATAACACGAGATTCAACATATTAAGTTATAGTATAAGTGTTGATTCATTGATACAAAACTGTTGAGCATATTAATTGTGTAGTCGTTTTTTTATAAGGGTTTAAGTTAAAATTCTTACGAAAATCATTAAAATCACACAAATTTCTAAATATTTTCAAACAAACTTTGATAAGAATCATTTTTATTAGCATTTATATTAAATAAAGTAAATAAACATATACATAAAAATAAAATAAATAAATGAACCAATGCATCGCCCGGTGTAATATGATGAGTGTGGTTTACGACCGGTTTCAAATTAAAAATGCATACAATACATTTTGAATGTGATATACCTGATGATGAATTTTTAATTTGAAACCGGTCGTCTAACATACTCATTATAAAAGTCCAGGCGATGCATTGATTTATTTAATTATTTTACTTTTATGTATACATTTTTTATTTATATATGTATTTACTATGTTTATTTACGAGTATTAACCATTTTAATGAATTTGTTTTTACTTAATTATTTTGTCATATAATTAAATTACCCTACATATATAAATCCTTCCAATCATCCATCCACCCAACAATAATTACTTATTAATTTTTTGTTGGAAATTAAAATAAACAATTTTACATTAATTGTCACAGTTATAGGAATTACAAACGAATTACACGTAGAATTTGTGTCTGATATTATCATTTTACATATTCGATACTGACTTTCAAAAAAAAAAAATAATAATTTTTTCCAATACCTGTGTTTAGTGTTAAACGGTAGCTATTTTTCGGAAACAAATACGCAATAAGTATATACAAAGTAAAACTCATATAATGGGTAGTTTTCATATTTTTACGAAAACTATTAGTAGTTTATTGAAAGTGTTTTTTAAGTTACCTGAACAAATATTCAAGAATGAACTTTGTCGAGCACCATCTGGGTTCAATTCTCTATCCATATATCATATAGTTTTCTACACAAGAAACTTTAACAGAAGCCATCTCTCGAAAAATACAAGAACACTTGACTCAAACAAAAAAAAAAAAAAAAACGTTCTTAATTCCAATAGAATTATATATTATTCTCAATAGTCGAATCTTCATGATACATTCTTAGTGGCGTAGCTATGGGAAGGAATACAGACAACTATTTGTATTTTTTTTGTGATAAGGTACTATTTTGAATTCATTATGCTTATCGAAACATGATTAACCGAACTTCATTTAAAACTGTTAAGCTACTCTACCAACTTCCCACTTAAACAGAAGTCTGCAGTACACCGTGTACTGGAAGCGTAGTGTATATCATACAAAACATCAACAATTTTTTAGGGTTTTTCGCCCCTCCCCAACTCTCAAATGAGAAATTTTTTCTACGCCACTGTATATCCTGTATATATATATATTAACATAGGTATTTAATCAAATTTGTTTACTATAACTCAGCTCGATGAGCTTTGTACGTGACATTAGAGCTCACGTCTAGTATAAACTGTATTATTTAATTAAACTAGATTGCACAGAATAAATAAATTAGATTTTTTTCGTTTTTAACACAATTAAAAATGTGTATCATTTTGAAAAAGAATAATTTTAGATTAATGATTAAAATAAAAGGTTGTAACATAAACTGTTTTATTTTCATAAAATATTGAAATTTGTGTTTATTTATTTACAATATATATATTAATCTATTTTTTTTAATACTGATTTTAATTGCAATAAAAATGTACGTATCAGGTTAAATTTTAAATAAATGTTCCTTTGAAGAATGTTTTAGATATAATAAAAATAAAAAAAAGAGGTTTTCAAAACCCTTTATTTTCTCTTTGATAATATATAAACATATTATTGAAATTTGAAAAAGTATTTCATAAAAAATGTCTCTTAATATAAATTTTAATATTATATTCGTTTCTCTGATTGTATATGATTTCTCACTCAAATATTAATTTAAAAACAATATATCCAAATAAATAAACAAAATATAATTTTTTTTTTTTTTTTAAACGGAAATTTTTAATTATAAAAAATATAATTTAATTTTGATCATTTTTTTTCCTCAAATATTAAGGTAAGTATTGGTAATTTTTAGAAAATATATTACATAATTGTTTATAGCTTTCCAGTGAACAATAAGAAACGTGGGGTAGCAATTAGTTTGATCAACGATGTGCCTTTATATTTCGTGTTAAAAACACTTTTTAAAACAATATATATATATATAAACTTGTTGAAAAAGTTTTATCCTATAGTAACTTTATTGTAGATAGAGTTAATTGAATAACAAATGTTACCTTAAAGACTGCCAGTTAACAATGTCTCATGCATTATTGTTTTTTTTGAAAATGACAAAAATCTAAAACAAGATGAAAAAATTCCGAATACAATTTTAAAATGTATGGTAGTTTTTAATTTAGAAAAAAGTAAAAATAACATACCTCCTTTCTCGCTTTCTCTATCATTGTCCATTATAGCCATCAAATATTATATAGTACAGTAGTATATGTAGTATAAATTTTAATCTAAATAATACTTGTTTATCTTTTATCTTATCTTTATGGAAATATCGTTATCTATGCGAGGATTATCTTAGATTTAAAAAAATATTATCCTTTTAGTAATTATCTAAATAATTTATGGTTCATAAACGAAAAAAAAATGTGTCAAACCATAGTAGAAATTAGTAAGTATAATAAATTGTATATGTATATTATAAGCTTTACTTTCACTTAAAAATCCAATGTCATTATAGCTATAGATACCAGATAATGCACTTTGCGTTTATATACTTATTTTAAACGTTTAAATAAACATTGAAACAATCTCTGTTATTGTGATTTCAACAATAGAAAATATTAAAACAAATCATAATCTTTTTTTCTAGATTAATTCCCCTTGCCTGTTATCTTCTTTAAGATTGTATAAAAATGCTGATACTACTGAGTACTGATTGGTGTATTTAAAAGGGACGTTGGAAGGCAGGATATATGAAGAGTAATTTAATTATTATTTGTATACTACAACAAACCATTTATAGCAAAGAGAACGAGCAGATTATTATTTGTCATATATTTCCTCTTGTTGCCGAACAAAACAAACAAAAATTTAAAAAATAATTTCCAGTTTTTCCCATTTATTAATAATACCACAAGAAGAATTAAAAAAATGTACCGTCAATGTGCCAGCTAGATTAAAAATGTTACAAGACAGTTTCTATAACAATATTAATTGGTGCAAGATTTCTATTATAAAAGTTCTTTACAGGCTCTAAAAAATGAGTTGATGAGCTACATATGGACGGGTGAGGACACTGTTGTAGGTTGGAAGTTGGAAAGGTTAGATAAAAAGATACATTTCTCTAACAATAAGTTATTATTTAAAAGTAATAAATCGAATTAAATCTCTTGTTATTTTTCGATTGAAGCAATATTTCTAGTAGAAAACATAGTTTGAAAAAACTAAAAACAATGGAATCGGTAACACCGCGACGTGCCGTAAATATTTACCGTTTCACCTATGAAATTCTTTCCGGTTTTTTCAATTATTTTGAATACCACTTAGAAAATCTAAAAATGACCTACCTAATGTGCCGTGAAGATAAAATTATCTTTCGAATAAGGCGCTACACTCTGTAAATCGGAACACGATTTCTGGTAAAAAAGTTTTTCACAGCAGAAAAAAAAAATCGCACATGATATTAAAACGCAATGGATCCCTCGTTAGTCTCCGAGTATAAAACACGATCACGAAACCGATACATTCCCCGCTTTACTCGGAATGTGATATTTGTTATTGCCTTAATCTGTATCTAGATGATTTTCGAACCATTATCATAAATATCCGTTTTCATAACAACAATACGAATGTGTTTATTAACTTATTAAGTGCTCGTTTAACGGGTCACAATTATTTCGTAGGTACCCACTATTTAAATCAAATTGTCCGCCGGAACTACGCGAACAATGTACCACGCGTTTTACTCGTGGAAACGTATTATTATTATTATCATTTCATTTCTTCGCGTCATTAAACTCGTGAGAGAAGGGGGGAGGGGAGTTTTTGTATAACACGTATAACCAACGTAATATTAGAAGTGGCATTATCATTAACATATTAGACGCTTTGCATACTATTAAAAGGTATTGTAATTTCATTAGCGTTTAGAGCCGATGTAGTGCCTTTGTCTCTACAATAATAATAATAATAATAATAATAATAATCGGGGACGAGACAAATACATTGTTTTAGCCCGATACGACTCGGAAGTATTACGTTAGCATTAGCTATTGTTGTATACCACGAATACAGAATATTATCACATAATTGACGTTCATACGTCTTTGTGAATGTAACCGTCATAAAATAATGTCCGTAAAGCTGTTTTGTGAATTATCATTTCCGTGATACATGCTATCAACTTTTATTATATCTATATCGAGTGCATATGCAGAAAACAATTTATGGCGGGGTTCATTGGTGAATACAAATTAAACATTTTAATCCTTAGAACTGGGTACCAGGTACTATGATGCATTAGAAATAGGTTTCGATTTGATACATTTTTTTTTTTTTTTTTTTTCGTCGACTTATGGGTGACATTGATGACAAGGATGCAAATTATACGGTTATTATTAGTTAATTTGGTCGCCACGAACAAAAATATAATTTTTCAAATAAATTAATTATTGCGCAACGACGGTTAACTTAAATGTGTTGGCTGGTGGAAACGGGGTGTCGCAGAGAGACGAGGGTTTTTTTTCGTTCAATACTACGCACGAGCGCACAGACAGCCACTAGGTAATGAAATAAAATATTATAATATAATTATTATATTTAAATATACGTTTAGCATTAAAATTTCCTTAGATGTATCTTATAAAGTACTGGTTTGTTTTTGTTTTTCTTTTTTTTTACACCAACAAAAAATGCCTGGAATTTATATAGAGATACCATGGCCAAAAATTTAAGGTCGTACAACTCGTCCTCGTAAATGTTCCGCTTAATATTTAACCAAATATTTTGAAAAGCTGCGGCAGTAAAATCGATCACTGCTAGTTATACTTTTTTAAAGTTGATCACGCAATATTATTTCTGTGCCGTTAACATTTTAAATTATTATTATCGCAATGCTACAGTAAATTTCCAAACTAAAATTTACATAATTATAATAAAATAATATTTGATCCGACTGCATATGTACCTATGGTTTTTTTAAAAAAAATAATGTTTTCAATTCATTTTGATCTGTATACACTATACAGGTATAATCCATTAAAAATGCATATTTCAAATGTTGTAAATTATAATAACTATCAAAGTGTTTGATGTATCGTCACGTATTATTATTATAAAACTGGTATTTTGGCTCGAAAAAAACCGTGTTATTTATTAGGCAATTGTGACGGGGAAAAAAACTGAAAATGTGGCAAATCGATACATATAATCAGGTTTAATCTGGAATTCGTATTTTTTTATACTATTTTTTATTAATTATTAGTCTACATAATAATACTTTGACATACAGAACGAACATACTATACAATAATTTTTGTAACTATGGGTATTACCTATTTATTTTTATAAAATGGAATTTTAAAGGATAGTTGTTTCATTGAGTTTTTTAAACGTTTCTCAAATTAATTAATTATCTACCCGGTATTGTTTGAACAAACCTTATATAAACACAAACATTAACGTAATATTTATGTTCTACTTTCATGTTAAAAATATTAAGTAATCTTTACTGGAAATTAGAATTATCGATAATATGAAAAGTAATATGTAATGAAACAAGCGTAATCTTTTAATTTTAAATAGGTATTGGTATTATTAAAAAAGTAAAAATCCGTGTATTTTAAGATAAAACGAGAAATATGCACAGAATTTCTTTCAATCGAAAAAGTATTTTCAAAGAAAAAACGTCCTAGTAAAATTAGTTATTGCTTTTTCGTTACAATCAGAATCCGAAAAATCCAATCGAAACAATTTTGTAAAAACTATATAAATTTAGAATACTTATATTATAGGTCCTTAATTTGTATAAACATTTTACTTAAATGTTGTTTTTAGCATGTAAATATTCTTAGCAGAGTGAGGAAAGTTAATAAGATAAAAATAATAGAAGAGACCTGAAATTTACACAGGTTACTTATATTAATTTTTTTTAAACGTGGTATAATATTTAAAATTAATAATTGTATTTTCTGGATTATTTATAGACAATTGACACGTTCGATTTTTTTTTTTTAGCATTTTCTTGGTGATTACAAACAAATTATTTTACCAAAAAGAAATGCTTGAAAATTTAACACGATATAAGTTATTTGCTATAAATTTAACTCATAGGTGAAAAAATAATAATAAGTTGAGTGTAATGTAATAATTATTTTTTAATGAGCATTTAATTTCAAATTTGAACATATATCATTAAAATTACGGAATTTCAAAACATGTTTAACCAATCTTCGCTCATAATCGTTTTGCAAAATGATTTATCGTTGTGTACGTGTGAATTAAATTATTTTATGTTGCCCAGCTTCCTTCCCAACTTCCTACCTAAAACAGTTATTCACCTACTCTCAGTGTCGTTTCTTTTTTAATTTTGTTGTTATACGTCGGGTGGGGTGTAGATGTTCAAATAGGGTAGGGTTTGTATATTTAATCCTCATCGCAATATGTCGGCCACAATATGAATAGTACAACCTACAACATTATTAACAATTATGATATTATAACGATATTACACTTACTATTTTTGGCAACAATTACCTACATCACTTCATTTATAATAATACGAGATGAATGGGCCCACGTAGTATACTATGATGGGCGTGTATCATATTATTATTATCACTTGTCGTTGGTATTTACTGTGTCGGCCGGATTAAGAGATAACCAGCTGTATTACTGATGTTCGACCATCATAATAATATTTCAACAATTCCTTTTGTAAATAATAGCATCACTACCACCAATATAATATTATACAGATATTATTGATCTACCATACGCAGAGTTCAACAGTCTTGAAACCATCACTGCCCTGTCCTTTGTGATCGATTCCAGGGAATTTATGTAGTTAGTCTGTAAAATAGGTAAATACTTGGGTACATCCTCTCGCTCAATCAAATCGATTCAAAACGTAATTATTTTACAACCGGCTGTCATTAAGATTGAACGTGGGCATAACGAATGAGCGTTTATTTATTTTTTTTATGTCTGAAAAAATCGAAAAATCGGCAACCTTATTTGATTTTCATATAAATTACATTCAAACCTCGACTGTGTCACGCAATTCATCAATCTATACATTATTCGCTGTGGCGGTTTTACTGTTTAGGGGGAGGAGGGGGAGAATGAGCAAATCGTCCCTGTTGAGTCGTGACTTCTTACAAAAATAAGAAATAAAGAATTTTTCGGTAAGAACATTTATAAAAACATGCATATATTATGAACTTTGACATTAATATTTATTGTATTAAATATGGCATTCAATTTTTCACGTATTAATTACAACAAACATTAAATTATGTATTATTTTTTGTTTTATTCTCTAAAAAATGAGCTGCTTAGCTGCTGATAAAAAATTGGAAACGTGGGATAGTTATTTTACTTATATCTGTATAAACCAGAGATTCCCAACCTTTTATGACACGCCCCATTTTGAAAATAATTTAAATTTTGGAAAACCACAGTATTATCAACGACCCTTTTTTTTTGTTCATTTCCATTTCTGGACGATTCATAAAGTTTGTTCAGTCTCGTACTCTCATTTGCAAGTACTTATAGATCCAATTTGCTGGTAAAATATTAGTCCACAAAAAAAAAAGGATTTATATTTTTTAACTAATACCTATATTTCGTACATTTTACCGTTTTTCCTATTGTATGAGAAAACTCCTTGAAAAATCAAAAAAATACCTCCCTAAAGTAACTTCCTAGTCCGATTTTCTTTCAGAAAAAGTGTTACACTTGTAAATCGAAATAAGGTTTCTGATATAAAAATTATTCACAGATAGAAAAAAAATATACCATTGTAAAACCATTACATTCGCGGTTTACTCAGAATCTAAAAGATTTATTATTTAAAAATATAACGTGATCCATTAAAAATATGATCGCGACCCACACTTTGGGAACCTCTGATATAAACAGCAAAATATTTTTAACGAAAACCTATTCTGAGTGAAGTTCAATTGAGCATGTTTTGAAATGTCATGATTTTTTACTAATGATCACAAAAACTTTAAATTTACAATTATTTATAAAAAAAATTGTTTCACCTTTAGTTATAACTTAAAATAAATCGCATATTAAATCATTGTTATCATTTATTCTCATTCAAAAAACCCGCGAAAGCCGTACGAAGCAATTTATGTTTTAATATTCCAATTTTTATGAATACGAAACAATTTTAAATGTATTTGTATATTATAAGTAGATGCATCATCAATTCTTTACTTGTTTTCGTACAGTTTGGTTTAAGTACATTCATTGCTATGAAAAATATATACAGTTTACATTGGCATACTTAGAACTGTTTTTTAAAATTACATTTTTTACTACCACTTACAAATAAAAATAAAAAATAAAAATAGATAATATAATACTGACTTGTACGTCTTATGTCTTGATCCCGAAAACACGGTCTTCGTCAAAGTTTCAAAGTTTTTGAGTCACACAAATATTAATTATACAACTCATACTTAGGTGATCGAAAAGAAACAAGCGACCAACATCAAATAGAACCCTCCTATTTGACGTTAACAGATATATATATCTGTTTGTATACTAACTTTTATTTTTTATTCCTTTTTTTTCCTACGCGTATAAACACAGCAGACCTTTTAAATCAAATATCGATCTGGTCTTGTACGAGCATAGGTACGTATATTTCAACGGAGCATAACTACGCGTTTGTGAATTAGTTATTGCCGGACATAAATAAACCGTCCGGTCTAAAAACTAATGCGCATTTATGCACTTTCACTTAAATTAAAATCAGACCCCGGAGTATTTATTATACTAGGAAGTTAAAAAATTTAAAGTAACCGGCCTCTTACGGGCGCATTTATTTTAAGTGTCGTTTCGTTTTGGTTTTTTTTTTTTTTTTTTTTATGGTTTAATACCATTCATCAATCAACATTATACTTTGAAAAGAAAAATACAATACACTTTTAGAGTTAACATAACTAAATAATAATAATTATTATTATATTACACTTGCGAATTAGAAAAATCCGATCATATATATTTATAGTATCCGTGTAGTCATATCAAACCAGAAAATATAAAATTAACTTATAAAAATCAACTACAACAAAACGCCCAACTTTTTTTTTTTTAAACATTATGTATAACTTATAATGAAATGAAAGTATTTCTGTTTTGTCCAACAGTTAAATTTGTATATGGTATTACCTACCGAATACATTTAAAAAAAAACTTGGAAAAAAGATTAAATCTGAGCTCAGAGAGCTGATAGTATTTCTAAGATGTCTGATTTTTTTTTATCTGTAAACAAATTTTCAATCAGAAATTAAAAAATTACAAGTGGCCTTTTTTATTTCATTTTGGTATTTAAGAAGTCGTTTCTTATGATTTTCCAAATTGATCAGAATAAATTCAACCTAAAATATCGATATTCAAATGAAAGAAAATGTTGTTTAATTGGTATATATAAAAGCCGTTCTTTGCATAAAAATTTAACTCGATGTTAATTATAAGTTATACTTAGAGGTCAATAAAAAAAAGTTAGGCTTAAAGTTGTTTTTTTTACATGATTGGTGTTTAAGATCAATTTTTTATGAAAATCTTAAAAATTATAGCATTTCTGAACATGGATAACAGAATCGTATTTCTTTAGATCTACAATAGTGGCAAACCCATTATCAGTATCAGATCTTTTCTTTTTCGTATTTGGTTTTGGCAAAATTAAAAATATTTTACAGAATGGGTTCATACATTTTTTCTTATTTCTGTTCGAGAATTAGATTGACTTATAAAATTCAAAATTATTTTCTTAATTACAATAGTTCAATAGGTATCAATTTTAGGTCATTATCATTATTGTATATTTTGATCACAATACCGTTTTTGGATACATTTACAACACGCAAATATAACAGCTCTTTTTCTTATACGTAAACGACTATGGTTTATTATAATATTATGAATATTCCTATAGAGTTAAATATTTGAATATAATTAAAAAATAATGACGTGTACATAAAATTATACAAAAATTATTGTAAATTTGAATTTTGAATAAAACATAAGATCCAGAACGACCCTATTAAACAACTTTCTGTATCTCATTTTGTTTATGTTGTTCCTAGTTTATATAATATACATACCATTCCTAAACGTATTAAATATTTTAATTATTTTTGGGGTGGAAGAGTATTAAAAACGCAAATATATTTTTTATTTATATTTGTATTTTTTTCAATATGTCGTGTATTTATTTATTCCGAGAATTTTAATCAATCATGGTTTAGTATTCAGTTTCCTAATACATGTAATATTTTTATTTTGAACTAAAGACGGTAATAGTGATATTATTAAATTTTTGTTTTGTATAATATATAAATAATATATATTTTATTACCAACAGATCATCCGGGAAGATTCTTAGAGCACTGGATCTTAGCTACAACCAGTTGGATAAAATTCCTCTAAAATCATTCTCGAGCATTACAAATTTAGATTGGCTAAATTTACACGGGTAATGGTTGTTGTAATATTTTTAAGAGTAGCAATCAAGAATAAAATAAAAAAATTTTTTTTCTTTTAGTAACAACATCGAAACAGTCGAAACTCAGTGGAACCATTTGGAAAATACCTTGCAACATTTGTTTATTGGTGAAAACGATTTAGTATCGTTTCCCGAACACTTTTCAAAACTGCGTACGCTTTCCAGTCTAAATCTAGATAATAATTTGATTACGTCAATTCCACCAAACGTCAAAACACCGCCAGCTCTAGAGACGTTAAGTATATCAAATAACTTCTTACATGAATTCCCGGTGTCTCTCCTAGAGACAGGAATAACGCTAAATAGATTATACATGAGAGACAATTATATCGAAAACGTGACGAATATCATACCAAACAGATTCATCAATCTACAAGTTTTGGATCTCGGTATGAACCGGTTAGAGAGTTGGTCTGGTCAAATTTTTGGCGGACGTTCGGTAGTGCAAACCCTACACTTAGACATGAACCGACTGGAGTTCCTGGACGCAAAAGCATTTGATGGATTACGATCAGTGCGTATGCATTTGTCGCATAATAAATTAAAGAATTTGGATCATAGAACATTCGAAGGACTCGAACGAATACTAGAGTATTTAGACTTAGAACACAATAATTTGGGAACAATACCCAAAGCGATAAGAATTTTAAAAAATCTCATGTTTTTGTATCTGTCGTCCAATGATCTCGGTGAACTGGATCCAGCAGACTTCACCGGTGTATCATCGACCTTAAGGTCACTTTCTCTGGCCGGAAATCGTCTGACGGAAATTCCCACGATCTCTTTGATGAACTGTACTAACCTGTCACATTTAAATTTAGGATACAATTTCATAAGAGAAATAAAAGAAACTGATTTCGGTGATTGGGCTATGCACCTGGATACACTATTACTGATGAACAACAAACTGAAAGAACTTACCGGGAAACCGTTCAAAAATATGACGTCACTCCGGGTGTTAAGTCTGTCTTTCAATAATATCCATTATGTTGAACCTGATGTACTTTTGGATTTGGCAAATTCTTTAGAAACATTAGAAATTAGTTTTGGCGTCTACTATGATAACTTTCCAGTTAAGATACTGAGACATCTGAAATCTTTAAGGTGGCTGGTACTCGACAATAATGATATTTCATATGTACCTGTTAATTCGTTGCATTCACTCGACAGTCTTCAATACCTTAACATGGAATCTAACCGGATATCTGTTTTGGTTCCAGGAACATTTAGCTCTTCTAATCAAACTTATCTACGCGAAGTACGATTGAATCAAAATCACTTAATGTCTTTGGAACCGAATACGTTTTCCGGTCTACAGCAATTACAGACGGTTACCGTATCCAGGAACAAAATAATCGAAATCATGTCACATGCATTTAAAGATCTTCCAATATTGCTCAACATCGATTTATCATTCAACAAAATCGAATACATTCAGCCGTCTGCATTCGACTCTTTGCCCGGTTTAAAACGTCTTGATTTACAAGGGAACCAGTTGAAAGAATTAAGAATAACATCGTTTATAAATTCTACAAATTCATTAGCACCAATGTCTTTGAACGTATCAAACAATTGTATCGAAAGAATTCCTGTCGACGACTCAAAGACGGCGGTACACATAAGTATCCTTGACTTGAGTCATAATAGTTTAGAGTTCGTCCCGTTAAAACTACTTTATCTAATATCCAACTCTCTCCGAAACTTATATTTGGACTACAATCGTATTGCTAAAGTATACAGTTCTGACTTCTCGAACTTGACAAATCTAGAAGTACTTTCAATGACCGAAAACGGTATGAAAACGGTAGCGTCAAAAGCATTTTTTAATTTAACTTCTTTACAAATACTTTATTTATCCGACAATAATATCGAGAAATTGTCGTCTGAGCAGTTTTCCACACTACCGAAACTCAGGGTGTTATCCTTGGCCAGGAACCGCCTAAACAGACTCAGTTTTGGTGTATTATCAGATATGCCATTGGAGTATTTGGATCTTTCCCATAACGAATTGTTAGCTGTGCCGACCGGGGTGCTACAGAAAACTGGCGCAACACTTAGACATCTTTTATTGACCGATAACCGAATAGATCACGTTGATGGAACGACTTTCTCCGACGTACCTAAGTTGACTAATTTGAGTTTGTCGAACAATAAGTTGACGATTATCCCGGATAATACATTCGTTGGACTCACCAACCTTGTTTCGTTGGATTTATCATCGAACAACCTACGAGCCAATTTTAAAGAACTATTTCATTACGTGCAAAATGTTAGGCATTTAAATCTTGCAGACACAGAACTAATCGAAATGCCACCGCTGCCGCTTCCTAGCCTGGTTTCACTACGGTTATCCAACAATAAACTGGAAAAAATTCCCAAATCATCAATGGAAATGCTCTCTCAGCTTAAGACGTTATACTTAAATGACAACAAGTTGACATCGTCTCCGGGACACATATGGCCATCATTACCGTCGTTAAAAACACTGGATCTATCTTCCAATCCAATAAAAGTAATCATTTCATTTTTCTTTGCATTTTAAAAATCTGTAATCCTTTGTATTAGACACATGTACATTTTCTTATTTTTTTCTGTTATATCCTCGAGTTCTATTTACGCTTATCTCAAAGTTATTTATTTAATCTTAATTTCAGACGATAACCAAAGCGAGCTTTTCAGGGCTGACTCACCTACAGCATTTACAAGTCCAACGGCTCAAGTACTTAGACCGGTTCGACGCGGGATCGCTTTCCAAACTGACCACGCTCCGGTCGCTGGCAACTGACTGGCACCATAACCTTGGAGAGATCGTTTGTGCTGCCGTCCAGTCAATACGCCGGTTATCGGTGCACGTGAATCGGCCTCGACTGGTTGGGTCTTTAGTAAAAGGCTGTGGCCCGAAATTAGAATCAGTGGCCATCACCGGCTCACAGCTCCGGCAAGTGGACCCGCAGGCATTCGTGGGTCTCGAACGTGGAGCCGGTGAGGGATTGACCATTAGCATCCGGCATACGGCTGTCGAGGACTTGCCGGTTGACCTGCTACTTCCATTGGTTGGCATCCCAAAACTTGCGCTCGACTTGACCGGCAACAAACTCACTTCGCTCAACCCGTTGACCGTCTACTCCAACTACACCACATGGGAAAACTCCGGTACAAATATCCTGAAAGGTAAATACAGCCGAATAGTTCCTAATACTTTATTGTGACAGTTGATGGGTGGTGGAAATAATGTGCTCGAGTGTTAGAGAACTGAAATATTGTAATTTATGTCATCTGATCGAATAGGTTGTTTTAGTTTTGTCATAAAATATTTTAGTATCTAAAATGTCATTGATAAAATTATATGTTATCAAAAATTCGAGTTTCTCGTAAATCTTCAATAATTTAACACACAATAAAAAAATGTTAAAATTGAATAATGCCTCTTAAATATTATAATACAATATTAAATGCATAATTATTATGCTAGGAAGGTAATTATATTTCTACCTTTGACTAAACGAAAAACCATTAAGTTCAATAACATTTCGAATAATTTAACGAAGTTTTTTTTTTTTTTTTAGAATGTAGTACTACTAGGCATAATATTTTATACTATTTGTGGGGGAATTTATAATAATAATCGCTAACATTTCAAGTGGTTACCTGATCATGCGATTTTTTTGAAACAGAAGGGTAGGGGCTAGGAAGAGCACACAAGTAATTTAATTGTTTCTTAACAAATCACCCTTTTTAGGTTATAATATATTGTGTGGTCAAATCAATTAATATTTTACGTTTAAGACTTTAAGAGGTGTGTGTAGGAACAGTATAGTTAAACCAAACACGTGTAATGGTTAACCGCGATTAGGTACATATCGTTATTTCGGACACAGTTTACCGTAAAACTATAATTTATAATATAACAACGACATAAGTTTAGAGAATAATAGCGTTTATAATTTTCAATCAATAATTTCTCGGAGCAGACATATTTCACGATGCTCCGGAAAAGAAAAAAAAACAGAATAGTCTTTTGTCATAATATATATTGTGTTCTACAATACAGCTTTATTGTATTGACACGTTACACACATTGCGAACTTTATCCACTCGAAAACGGTGTTTAAGTTGTATTTATCTAGCTAGGTATATTTTTATCCTGTACTTGTTCTGAGATAAATAATTAAATTGATTACTTACCTGTAAGTATTTTGAAAACCCTAATTTATTTATAAGAATATAATGAGTCAAATATTTAATTTATAACCAAGAAGTTTCTTAAAATGGGTCTCTTAAACTCTGAGAACATAAAATAAACTTAAAAGGAGATAAAATTATAGAACAAGTAGATGAATTCAGGTATTTGGGAAGCACTATATGCTCAGATGGGATAAATTAGTAAACATAGGAAAAAGTGAAGGGAATAAGCTAATTCATAGTGGCACAAAATAAAAAATACTAAATTGTTTAACCTTAATAAATATTAATCTTATAGTTAGAACAAAGACGGGCATATTTCACACGTAGGTACAGCCGCTGTCATAGGTGGGAAGTTGGAGAGTACGATATAAACCGAAATTTAAGGTATATCTAAAAATAACGATAAACCATTACTAACGCTCATTACTAATGAGCGGAGTTCAGTTGATAGTATTGTTTTGTCAACAATATATATTATTTTATACTATGGTAAAATTATTACAAAATGTGCATTGACAACAATGATTATTTAAAAAACATCGAAGTAATAAAAAGTTAATAAGAACAAACAATAAATAAAAACGGTTGCCAATGACAAGTTTATTTTAAATCTTTCAATCTTTTTCAACCTAATTAATCGGGTTTTCCTCATTATTTCAAATACTAATGAGAAATTCAAAAAATGACCTCTCTAAATTACCACCCAGAAAACATTTCCTTTCAGAAAAGATACTATATTTGAAAACTGGAGAAAGCTTTCTGGTAAAAAAATTTTTACGTACAAAAAAAAATAAACATCTTTGTANCCTTTCAGAAAAGATACTATATTTGAAAACTGGAGTAAGATTTCTGGTAGAAAAAATGTTTACGTACAAAAAAAAATAAACATCTTTGTAAAACCAATACGTTCTTTGCTAAACTCAGAATCTTAATATATATTATAATAATATAATGGTTTAATGGATGAACCATTAAATAAAATAAATCACATAACTTTTCTGAAATGTATGTTTATACCAAATCCACCATACGCTTTTATAACATTTACCACTTAGTTTTTGATAGATAACAAAAAAAAAAAAAAAATTTTTTTAATTAGATAAAAAGTTTCTGTTAATGTATATTTTTTCTTGGTATTTTAAAATTTATTTTTGTAAAACACTATCGAACACCGTTCGAATTGCATATTATTGTAACAATTTTTTATTATTTTTATTTTTTTTTTTTTTATTCAACTCAACCTAAATAACATAGGAATATTTTTTGCGCATGGATGTATATTTTCTACTTGAACGAATAATAATATGAAACACGATGCGTTGTATGTTTACCGAAAAATTTGTTTTACTTAAAACGTATATTATGTGCACAGTGTTAATAATATTTAATCAGCGACGGATCACGATAAATTAAAATACTGTGTAAACGGTCTAATATTTATATACGAGAAACAATGTCAACTAATTAAAAATATTTACTGTTGTCGATAAATTCGCGGATAAAACAGCACAGTACACAATATATATTGTTTTTAAAATGCGGTAACGCAAATATGATCGATATTGTTTTCGGCACTCTTGTATAATAATGTTTCTAATGGTGTACGGACAAAATCAAAACATTATAATATTTATCGGAAATCAGAATAATAATATTATTGTTAAGCTGCTATCGAAGACCGAATGATAGCTAGATAACCTGCGAAATTGAAATCGGGCATGAGCAAAACAAAACGAAAAAAACACCGAATTCTAAAATAACATTACTCCAATTCCCGTTGAAAACAATACTTACATTAGAACAGGTTATTGGGTTTGTATGATTGTCACGACCAAATACGTCTGTATAAACTCGTAACTAACACTACCGTTGACGAAAACTCGAGAGTTACCGTAACATTGTTTTGGTGTACCTATGGGATTTACATTCCTTTCACACGGCGTAATAATTGATCGATAAAAACCGTTTTGTTGTAGTTTGATAAAATGGATCGAAATTCCAAAAACGTACTTTGCCAGAATGTTGCCGCACACGGGAAATCTGAAGCGGATAGCGGCTTTTAATCGAGCTTTAAATTATCAATACATTTTTTTCCGTATAGAATATATGAAAAACGCATTTTACACCACACTCCTTATGAGTTCCCGTGAAGTTGGAAGGAATTTACGTTATTTTAATACATGAGCTGTTTGACGATTGACGCTTTGTAGGACGGGGGTCGTTCGGGAAAAACGAGAACCGAATGTGATATAATACAAAATAAAACAGTCAAATTGTATAAAAACTAACCATCATTTTCTGATTTAGTCCGCGTAAAAGTAGTGTGATCTTTCCGATTGTTTCACTTTTTTCCTGCTCCAATTAACATAATAATATTTCTCGAACAACAAACCATACAAAAAAAGACGTTGTTAGAAAAATAGAATAGTGAATTATTTTTGTTCATGGTAATATTACTTTATATAACTTGAATTATCCCTGAAGAAAAAATGGGGTCAGTCCAAAATAATTGCATAGAAATTAATTTCAGATACACACATACAAGATGATGTACTACGAAAATAATTTTTAATGAAATAGACTCTTGTCGTTCTCTTTCACATATTATTTTTATTTTTATTTTTTTTAGAGATAAAAATAAAAAAAACTAAAATTCATTAAGTAAAAGAAACAAAAACCGTAAAACCCATTCATTTTTTAATTAAATGTAATAAAAAAAAAATGAATAATAAAAAAACTTAGCGCATTTAATAGGCCAAACAAAAAAATTTTATTTGATGCCAAAATAATTTTGAAAAAGTTGACAATAATATTATCATATTTATTGATAATAATTATTGATCGGAAATAATTTTAAAATTCAATATCAGTCAGTTTTTGATTTTCTACACAGTTTTTTAATGATAACATACTATACATTTTTTATATAAAATTATGAATCCAAATCGGATCATCTTCAAACTACTATAATTTATCCGACACACTAAAAAGTCCCGTCCTTGACTTCTAACTGATTTTTGACATTTACAATGAACAGATTTTAACTAAAAGTTCAATCAGTTTTCATGTTTATTAAGTTTGTATGAGTTTAATATGATTGTTAGAAAACACATTTACAGTTTCATTGTTAAACTAACAGGAAATCTAGAACAATAACGTTACTTGGAACGTAAATTGTGCTGAAAAGTTCAAATACAAATAACCATATTTAAAGAAAACGTGTTTTTCGAGAGAACATTACCTGAATCGTTTTTTTTTTTAAAAAAAAAAACATTGACATATAAAGAATTACAGCTACTAAAAAAAAAAAAAAACTGAAATGGAACTTTTTTGAGAAAAAGATTGACATAGTTCTTTTGGTATATTGGACATCAATTTTCGCTTATATAAATAAAGACTACAAAAATATGAGTTCAAAATCGATGAAATTGGTAAAAATCAAACTATAATTATAATATGTATACAAATATAATTTTTCAAATCTAAGTCGTATTTATAAAAGAAAAAAGATCTTATATTTTTTTTCTTTTTGTAATTCTGAAAAAAAAGCAATAAATACATTACTTTTTCTATATACATTTATATATAATGATTAGTGTTTTTATTAGTTTGTAGGCAACTTTTCACGCAAAAATCTTGCTACGATTTGTAGGATATAGCACCTTCTCTGATAAGTAATTCCCCCTTAATAGTGCGTAAAGGAGGTAATTTTTTAATTTTCTAAAGGGATTATCAAAATATTTGGGAAAAAAACAAAAGAAAATTATAAGTAAAATAGCAAATATTTACAGCGATCCACGGTGTTAACGATTTTATTGTTTTTAATTTTTGCAAACTATGTTTTCTACCAGAAATATTGGTCCAATTGAAAATTTACAAAAAATCAATTTTTTGATACGTATCTAAAGTATTTTTATAAGTAGGAAAAATAAAAAAATAACGAATTCTTTTTTTTTTTTATAATTACCGTCTTCTACCAGAAATATCGCTCCAGTGAAAAAACCACAAAAGACATTTATTTGTTAAATTTTTAATCTAATAGGTGACTAAGAAAGTCGTTTTTAATTTTCCTTGTAGTTTTGGTTATTGATTGTTTCCAAAAAATACTTTGATTGTATGGGGAAATTTACAAAAATAATAGTTTTATCATTCTAAGTTAGGTTTTGTGATGTAATTTAGTTAAAAATATTTATAGAGACATAACATTGAGACAGAAAACTTATTTGCCTTTTCTAGGCATGATCAAATTTTCAACGCATTTTATTCATTGAGATTCAAATTTTGTGAGTTTTGTACCTAATTTTTATTCGGTAGGTATAAAATGTGTATGAAATTATTAGTCTATACAGAAATGCTTGCAATTTAACAGAAGGTTCATTATAAGTTGTACTTAGTGGACAACAAAAATAAAAAATTGAGTGTGGGTTTTTTTTTTTATAAGCGTTAGTTTAATATCAAATTTGGACGAAAATCTTAATATATGACCTTTTAAAACACGTAGAATAAATCGTTTTTTGTTAGCAATGGTTTATCATTGATTACAGATATAAATAACTTTATGTATTTCACTTTTTTTCCAACTACCTACCTAAAAGAATAACTGCACACATCTCCAGTATCAGCTCTTTTTAAATTGTTTTATTGCTGTTAGTGAGTTAAAAATAATAAATTATGGACACCTGAAATTTTTATCAAATTCTTATGTACTAGCACTTTCTCACATTTTCAAAACATTCTAGCGATGTTTGTGCTTTTTTTAGTCATTTGAAAAATAGATCGTTTTTTTTTTTTATAGTTGACTTTATTTATTTATTGATTTAACACAAGGTTCATGATATACCTGATGTACTGATATTTTTTTTTTATGTAATTCTAAACGTTAAAGTTGTATTGACATCGTGAAAACCGCGACATTTCAATACGTTTTTCGTTAGCAATGATTAATCTTTGCGTACAAGTATAAATTAAATTTTTCTTTATTGTAACATTATATTACTTTCCCAACTTCCTATTTTGAATGACGGAACGCCCGTCAGCAGTATTAGTTCTTTTTTTTTTTTATTTTTTTTTTTTGTTTCGTCTATCGCGTGTTTATTGTTACCTGCGCATTATTCGAGTCTGCAGCAGTCGTCCGAGTAAATTTCCTTTTTTTATTTATAATTTACATTTAGGGTAGAGGAGTTTTTTTTTTTTTTCAGTAGTCTGCGTGATTGTTTAGTTTGTTTGAAAATATAATAAATATAAATAATCGCTTATTCGTTCACGACTACGGATTGTCGAGCGACCGCGACAAATGCGTATAAAAAAAAAAATAATAATAATAATAATAATATAATAAAAGAAGACGAGCGCATAAAAGACAACTACGACTACACGAGATCCGAACAAATTGGATGGCCATAGTCGTATTATGAATACATACACACGTACCTGTATACATTTTAAACAATGTTACACGCGGTTTATTTGCCGGCCGGTCATTGTTCGTGCCGCGCAAACATAATGGTTTTTTTTTTTTTTGCGTCTACCGAATAAAAAAAAAACAAAAAAAAAGTGCACTAGAGAGGAAAAAAAGTATGTACCAGGGTGATGTGGGAAGCGGGGGTTACTGCTTCGAGTATTTAGACACTGACACAAGAGTGCTAGTGTGTGCGGAAGTTTGTTTTGTTTTTTTTTTTTTATTTTATATATACATATACATAGATATAGACAGGGTTACACAGACATACACACTGCGCGCGGTAAAAACTCAAGTGCTGACGAAGTGCCGCTCGAAAATAAAGAGTGTGTGGCGAGTGCCGGGCGGACCGAGTGTAGTGCGGTGCAGCGGAGGTGTAGTTATATTAAAGCGCATCTGTGCCGCCCGGGGGCTAAGGATATAATATTTTCCGTCCTCTGCCGCGTGACTTTTTGTCGTGCCGCGTTTTATTCCCCGCGTTGCCGGTCCCTCGCTCTTGTAATAATAATATTTTCGCGTAATATTATATTTTTCACTTTGCCCGTCCGCTTCATCTACCGTTTTGGTCGATAAACACACACGCGCGCGCGCGCACACACACACACACACACACACACACACACACACACACTATCCGCGGACTGTGTACATAGCGCACAACAGTACGACAATATTGTACACCTATACACAGTGCCACCTCAAAGTGTCGTCGTCATCGAAACGATACGAGTATATAACATGATCCCGTCGTCCGATTGTTACTGTGATACCGCGGTCAGGACGGACACGTCAGAGGACGTCCTTGTTTTCACGCCGAGACGGAAAAAAATCGTATCGCGTCTCGCCCGTCCGTCTAATCACGTCTAGTGGCCCTTAAAATATTAATAAAACAAAATGTAGACGCGTATCCCTGTTCTGCATGGCTGATGCATTAATAAAATGAACTAAAAGCAGAACCATATACCCGTAGGTGAAACTAGACATTTACATTAGCCCGAGTCAAACGAAATATGTTGTTTTTCTGATGGTTATCTCATTCTAGAATTCATCAATATATTTAAAAGTATATAACATTACTCAAGAAAACTACAAGTATTTTATTACAAATATAACACAGTTATTATGAATACGGTTATTTCAAACTATCCCGAGTGAATTGTAAAATAAAAAATTTGATAAATGAATAAATGTTATTTCTAGCAATTGATTGTTCGGTTATTTCTTAAAAAAAAATAAAACGAGCCATGAGGTCATCCAAAAGATCGTGCTCGTGGAAGCCAAGACTTTTATTAATGGGTATTTTAATTTGACTATGATATTATTATCTCAAAATATCGATATTACCATGAGTTTAACGTTAAACATCACTATACTGATAATGAATAGATTTAAATGGATAACTCTGGGTGAATCTGTTGTTGCATAAAACTCGTAGCATTCTGGGCCGGATTGAGCTGAAGAATCATCAAACAAATCTCACCGGGATGATTTGTTTAATTTCGGGTCGATATAATAGTTGTATGCGAATATATGGTACGAAATACGGAAAACTTTTAAATAAAAAAATGAAATCGTGAATAATAATCTGGTCTAAAGGTTGTATCAATCAAAACGGTTATTTTATTTTAATTTTTTCGTTTTACGGTGAAATATATTTGACTATTTATAAATTTAGCATAAAGAAAATAGAACGTGGTGTCATACGAATTCCTCGATTGTGGGTTGGGCCGTTTCATATTATAACTCGCTCATATTCCATATTTTACTTCTCGATACGGCACTAGTAGGGATTGGCAAGGGGCACGACCTATGTATACAATCAAAACCGTCGCGGTAATAATATTTCGTAATATTTGTTTACCTCTCACAGGCTGTTGTTCGCGTCGCCAATGTTCATAATTTATTTACCTACCGGGCGGCCACGGTTAGAGGAGGTTTTCCAAATAATACGACGACACGTGGCCGCACCGATAACAATCGCGTCGTGTGAAATAATAATCGGTCACGTGGAACGTATACGTATATTGAGGGGACGAACAATCGTTTGTAGTCATTATCATAGCTAACAACCAGCAGTAATAATGATAATAATCGTAAAATATATGAAATGTTTCGCTATAGTTGCATCATGAAGGTTTCGCCACAAGAGCTTTTATCGGCCCCAAAAACGAATCCGCAATACTTGAATACCCCGGAAACGCCAAAATATAATAATAATATTTTTATATTAACAAAGCTGGATACGCCATACTAGTTAGAAAATTAAAATCAAGTTAACAAATAACTTTCATTAATATAATTTTAAACTTGAGCGAATGTGATACCCTTTCCTAGTGCACAGTGTCATAGACGGAATTTCTCAGATTCTCGAATGAAAACGAACCGCCTACAACAAGAAATAACATATCCATGACAAAATAACGATAAAAATATTTTAAAATACGACAAATGGTGGGAACTATGTTGCTCCTGTGGCTGCTGACTACGCCAATAGTCCCCTCTTATATGTTCAAGAGGTTGCGTGCTAGTAATTTTCACGAAATAATTTGAAAAGAAAAAAAAAAATATATATATATATATATATCAACTCAGATATACAAATTTATTAGTCCCATGTCATATTGTCACAAATATTTTTCTCGTGATATTGCTTCTGTTGTAAAAAAATATATTTTTCAGGTATAAATCAGTGTTATATATGATTTTTAGGTTAACGGAAAAAAAAAAAAAAAACATAAATTATATTAATTTCATCGAATATTTTATTCGAACTAAACTATAATTTGGAAATGTTGGTCATTTAAAAAGACGACTCCCAATCTAATTTCATTGGTTTTCTTATAAACACCATTTTATAATCCAATTTGTTATTAGTTAGAAATTTCGAGTAAATTGCACAACTTGATATATAATCAACCAATGTTCTACAAAGATAACTTTAAAAGTATTTACAAAATAAAAAATAACCTCATTTTAATCTAAATTTAAAAAAAGGAAATGTTTTAGTTTTAGGTTTTAAAGAATCATAATTTATTTAAAAATGAATAATAAACATTATATTACATCAATATTCACTAGTCACTACTAAACTGGTTTATTTAAAACCGACCAAATAAATAATGTAAATTTAGTTGCTAAGTATAAGCTTACAAACTCTGTTTTAATAACTTAATGGGATTAGAAATGGGTTTTTAGATTTTTCCCAATTTTAAAAAATTTAAAATAATTTTTTTATTTTAAAACGATAACCTTGATTATAAGACTTTTTCATATTTCTACTGCATGAAATCCATTTAATAAAAAGATAATACGATGTTTTAGATAAAAAAAAAAACCAGACAAAACTTTAAGAACTATAATTGCGTTTATTATATTTAAATTTTGAAAACGTAATCATGATTTAGGTTATTTACGGAGATACGTTAAATTATTTTTATATAAAGAAAAATACTTTATAAATTATAATTAAAAATACAATAGATTTTTGTTATGATATCACTTCAAATAATTAAATTTATATTTCAAACATATCCTAGTAAAGAACCTAATAGAATTATAATACGTTTTCAAAACTGAAATCAATCTCAAATTCTCTTTTTTTTTTTTTTTTTTTTTCATAGCTTTAATGTCTAATTTGACTGAAATATATCGACGCTATTTCCTTTAGATAGTTTACGCTAAAAATTAATTTATTCTAATAGTTATCTAAATTTAAAAAACCGGTAACTAATCAAATAATAAACAATAACCTCGACAATAATTGAACATCAGAAACCAAATTAATTATCTGGGTAATCATATAACTATTTTATTTGTTTAGATTAGATAACAAAGTAAAAATATTTATCTAGATAACGGACGACACTGTAATGGTTTGTCTTTTGTATGATGGTTTTTTTTCTTCAGCATTTTCAACTATTATTGCACTATTTCATCCGTCACCAAGGTTTTTTTTCATAAAAATTATAATAATTGTTGAAAACCAACCGAGAGTATAAAAAACCCATACTTCAAAAATTATCAAGTGCTATTCTACGAACGATTATTAATATTTTGCAAAAAAATATGTATAAGTACTTGCATAATAATTTGTTATTCGTATCGCTACCTACCTAATTCTTCACGGATAATATAAAATAGCTATTAAAGAAAAAAATAAAGAATAAATTATCAAATCATTTATTTTTATCATTGTACAGGTATAAGATTTTCAACGTTCAAATTATTACTTCAAAACAAATTATTGATTTCATAGGCATTTTAAATAAATATGATTTATTTTTTTAACAATTTCCTCGTTGGTGCAAAACAAATGTATTAGAACGCAAATATGATTTCTCTGTATATTATAGCTGCAGCTGCAGTTTAACAATTAAAGGTTTTTGCGAGAGACATGTCAAGTCACTTTTTGGTCATTTTGATATTATTATACACTAAAATTGTAGGCAATTTTACGCTGCATCGATTGGTAACATTATTGTTAACATATGGGAGTCTCGTTATCGTGTTATATTGATGTGTAAAATGAGTCAATTCAAAAACAGTTAAATGATTTCGTACTAAATTATAGTCATTCAATCCTTTTGAAAACCAATATTATAATAATTTATAGATTTCTACTAACAATTTTGCTCCAATTTATAATGATAGCGATATTTCGAAAACGAAATTCGACTGGGGAGGTACTTTAACGAGATCATTTTCCGATTTTCTCAGAAGTTTTCCCAGCAAATATGAAATACCGGGAAAAACATAGGAAAAGCGGTTCAACATTAAACAAATATTATAAAAGAAAAAAAGAAAACCTATTTAATTATTTTATTACAATATGGTATATATATATTACTGACAAAGCATCACTATTAACTGAACTCAGCTCAGAATCGTTTTTTCGTAAGCAATGGTTTTTTTTTTTTTTACCTACTGTTAGTAAGTTAAAATATTAGTGGCAATTTAATAATTTAAAATTTCAAAAACACCTTATAATAAATTATGCAGGTACACGTTTAATAGATTTGTTTAGTCATTTAATTACATAGGTACTATTTTGGTAAAACCGTTTTTTTCAAAGTTGTTAATTTACGTAGCATACAAAAATAGTATATATTTATTAGAGTCTATCATAAATTCAAAGAACTTATTGTGTAATAAATTGAGTAAAATAAAAATTTAAAAACTTCTCTACAAAAGGTTATAGTACTAATAACTTAAAACTTAAAATAGTATGAAAGCTCTAGCTACGATAAAACCAAATAAATGGTGTTATTCATGTCAAGCCATATGTGCAAAATATATAAGTCAGATACTGTTTGTGTCATTACTCATTAGTATCAGGTCACTTACAAAAGTCCTAAAATGGTTTAAGAGTTATAGTTTAATGAAAATCCGAAAATAAATAGGTTTATGAGATAAAAAAAAAAAAAACTATTGTAACAAATTAAAAACGAAAATTAAGGAATAGAAACATTTTTATCTTCTCTTGAAAAATAAAAATTTTTGACTAGACACGTTTCTCACAAAAACCGTCACAAAGAAATTTTGCTCTCGCAGTATAATATTATAAAACCGAGCCGTATACAATAAATAAAATTACATTATTTCGTACAATAATCAGAAAGACGGAAATAATATAGTTAAAATAATTATAAAACAACATTCGTTTTGATTGGTTTTGTACTTAAGGCTGTACAGGAGCTTTAAGACGTTTTCAATTTACAGCGAGCGGCAGGGCGTAGGTATATAGAGAGAGGCAGGCGACTACCTATTCAAATCGTAAACGTGCCCATTTTTGGTTATGATGAACGGCCCGAGAAATAATTCTCATCAATACAATCACCGAAACTTTTTGAATTTATATTCCGTCGAAATCGTATTTGCATAACATTATAGGTCGGTAGGTGTATAATGTATAGAAGACATTTCCACAGACACATAAACACGTTCGCGGTGGCGACGACTACGGTGCACAACTTACTCTGCTGCGCATTATACAATACTAATACGGCTACTAGACCAAAGTATCTCGCGATAAATTCGGTTATAAATTTTAAAGTTGCGGGCGAAAACGTTTACGCGAATACACGAAAACTGCCACTGACAATGCTTCCGAACGTATATAATATCGTATTTGCATTTAATTATTATCTACGTAGAATGGAATAACCACCTTTGGCCCGGATCTCTGATAATGCGGCAATTAGTTTTTTATTTTATTTGTATAATAGTGTAATTTTGTGATTTGATAGGCCAATATGATTGTTGTTGTATTTATTTACATTAATTATTTTACGGGGTGTTATCAATTATTACAAAACAGTTAAAAACGTCACAGATAACCATAGGAACGGGAAAATTAAATTTTAAAATACTTATACAAATTTATCATTTCATAATGTTTTTAAGACTTTGGTAGTTCAAACTAAATAGTATTGGTAAACTTATAATGTATTTACGGTTTGGTTTTGGATATTTTTTTTTTTTGTAGACAGATTAAAATTAAATATTATTATTTTTGCAAATCTAAATAATGATTTTATTTAAATAAATGATAATAAAGAATATCTGAGGTAAATAATTGATAAACATAAGTATTACTAAACACGGTGTATATAATTATGAAGTTCCAACTGTCACAGAACATTTTTTTAAATCTGGAAGTTCTCGTGCCTATACATTTTCAGCGCCTTTTTTTAATAGAAGATAATGTTAACCAAATCATAGATTACCTACACAATATCATAGTCACAAACAGCCCAATCATTTTTTTTTTTAGGATCGGGATGTTAATTCCCCATAATACTGATTTTATGTAAGTAGTATTTCCTTTATAAAGACTTGGTTTAGGGGCCTCAGAACTCCCAAGCCCGCTCTATTTGCACCTATACTCATTAGGTATATTTTAAATTATATAATGTAATTGATACGTATGTATAATAATAATTCGGGAGCGAAATATATGCGTATCCACATATATGTGCATTTATATTTTTTTCTTTTTTATATTCTCTTTCCATACTTCTTTGGTAGGTACGAATCTTGTATTTATGCATTTTTTTTTTAATAAAACTAAAACAAAATATTATTATAATTAGTTTTGAGATATAATAAAATGGACGCATTCGAGTTGTACACAACAACGCGATTCTAAAGAACCGACGTGAAAAAAGAGAAAAAAAACGTATAGATAAAAATTTTTAAAAAAAACTGCCACAATACAGGTGAGTTCAATAATTCATGAATCTACTGCGTAGTGCGTTTAAATCAACATTTTTACCGTACACAATATTTCGTTAATTAATAAAATTTGGTTAAAAATTAAAAATCAATTTTATTTTTTTTTTATAAATCATGGATATAATATGAGACAATAAGACTATAACTGACTGTACGATACAAAGTCCTAACTCCCAAAAGGTGTATCAAGCCAAGTAGCTGTCCGCTAAGAGAGTAAGTTGAATTGATTATATAAATGTATAAACCATGCAATATTCAAAGCTGGGTAATAATTATAATTAAAGAGTTTAAAATGAATTTAAAATAGTTATAACTTTTAACTTGTAAAGTTAAGAAAAAAATAGAAAATAGCTTAGTTAATTTTTTAAAATTTAAACTATTTCTACAGAGTTATTTACGATTTTGTAGAAAAACCCATGATTTTTTTTATACTTATGTTTCGGCGAAAATTTGTTTTCTCACAATTTGAATACCATTATCGCATAACTTAATAACAGACATGTAGCCTATGGGATACCCACACGAGTCTAGTATGGCTAATCATCATTTCCCATTTTCGATGAGTACAATGTGCAAATTTCGTTTATGCATATAGTAGATTATTTTTAAAAAAGTAACTGTTAACTTAGCTCGAGTTATTATTTTCTCCTGAAAATGAACAACTTAACTTTTAACTATTTAAATTCACGTATCTTTTAAAATTAACTTTAACTTGGTAAAGTTTTAGATTCAGTGCTTAAGGATTTATTGGTTTTACTATGATGTGTGATTTTGTATTTTTTTTTTCTATTTCTGAAAACTTAATTTAAACTAGGTAATAAACATGGCCTTGACCATGAATAACACGACCACCCTTAGGAAATTATGTGTTTATATAATTTGTTATTAGTTTCTTATATTTGTCCTTACTACATTTATCGTATTATAAAAATGTCTGAATCTTGAAAATGTTGGAGTAAACAAATATTTCAGTTTCACGTTTTTATAATCGATAAAAAGCTCTATATAAGTTTATTATGCAGTTTCCAAGCTTCAGATTTACTCATAGATTCCGTTATATGTAGAGATGTTTTATGATTTTATGCATCAGTAGACCTGGATTTCAATGCAAAATGCATCTTTTTTTGAGTGATTTTAGAAAATGCTTTCCAAGTACATAATTTAATTCATGTAACAGAAATTTCAAAGGTGAAAATTTTATTTCGTCTTTTTTTGATTTTATTTTTTTATTTTTTTTTTGCATTTTCAATGTTATTTAAAGCTTTTATTACCATTTTTCAGTCATTTTTTTGGTTTTATTGTATATTTGTATATTATGCGAATATAATATAATACAGTATTTGTACATAATACGACCTTCGATTAAGTATACTCAGTATATTTAATTTATGATACGACTTAATAATTTAAATTTAGCTAACAAAATATTAATCATGTTTTTCAGATTTTACAGCTCCTCAGTTAATACCATCATCGGTAGTCATACGTTTTCAATTTTCTGTTATTAATAAAATACAAAAGTTATAAATTACTCAATAAAACAATACATTTAAAAAATTGAATGACATTTTCCAATGATTTTTAGTGCATTTAAATTCAGACCCTATATATTAGTAGTAACTAGTAATTAGTATAAACTAAACAACTGAGCTATAGAATGCGAAAAATAAATTGAAAATATACGAACTTGGTATATTATATATATGTATAAACCTATATACCTATTGCTGTTGTTTGATTCGGTAGAATATTACGATGTGTAGTCCGTACTATAGTTTAAGGAATATTTCCTACCGACACGCAGCCGCTATTATTTGAAAGTCTTTGAAATGAGTTTGCAGGAGAAACATCAGTGTTTTTCTCGAACTTAAAACGTCTACCATTATTTTTATTTTTCTTGTTAATGAAAGCTATCAACAAAAAAAATAAAATAAAATAAAACCGAAGAAATACAATATTCCGCCAAAGAAATCGTATTTTATAATACTATTATCAATACGCCGTTCGTGTTACGAGCGGTCTTATAAGCCGCACAAACACCATTTCACTGGAAAACGTTTAATTAGATATTATAAGATTGATAGTTAATTTATGTTTTCAATTCGTTGTAGGCTACCTATCTAATATTATTAATAAGATGTAGGTACGAATTTTCACCTGTTCGACGTTTTATGCATCTGCATCGCGTTATTATTATAAGAGCACCTACGTAATAGTATAAGAACGGCTTAAATTCTAACAGAAATCTCAAAAATAAAAAGTTAATAATGTTATGTTTCCCTTATATTTTATCCGTGACGAAAACAAAAATCTGTTCCTATATATACAGTGTTGTTCACTAAACGTACTCGCCCCATTCCAATAAAATGCCACGCGCCGTGCCGTCACACAAATGTTACCCTACCTGAATTAAAAAGTAAAATATCTCGTAAACAGTATGAAGATAATCAACAATTTACACATCAACATTTATTTAATATAATACTCCCTCTATTCATGGAATTTTCAACATAAGTTATTATTTTAAAAACCAAAGTTAGTGTCGCCATAAGATACTCCTTAAATATTGTGAAAATTCGAAGTATTCGAAAATAGCGGCTATAACTACTTTAATTTAAAATTCCAAAAATCAGAATATAAATACACGCAAAATGTAACAAAAAAATTGGGTGTGCACGCTTAGTGAATCACCCTGTATAACGCTGTTTGGAATTTGTCAAAATCGTAATAGTGAAACAAGCACGCGTAGACTTTACTTATATATTAGTCAAAAAGTAGAACAATATACGATTTATTATTTCATACACAGTTTTAACCCCGCTCCGAGTGCCATAATATACTCGTATAAACGCAATAACAGAACGTAGCCGTCCAGAATAATTGTAATGTTACATATACATCTACACACTCGACGAAATAAATCATAATATGTTATGAATTTCAGCATAAAGTTAAACTCATATGGGTACTGTACAGTAAATGTATTCTTGGAGATTTTGATTTAACATCGTATGACAATATTATTATGGTTATAATACAACGTTGGTTTAACCGACAATTGTATTTATTGTACGATTAAATGTATAATTTTGATGAAAAAAAAATCAATATTATTGTTATCGTATATCGGTCGGTCGTCACAATTATTAAAAAGAAAAAACTACCCAGCCGAAAACCTTGGTTTAAATTTAAATGTCAATGACAACGTTCTGGACCTGCGAACCTGTGGAGTTTGATTAATCACTGAGTGGTTTCTCACTTGCTTCGTTAATAATACGGTCAAGGATGTAGCGGACATTACATTGGGTCATGAATTGGTCTCTCGTGCTCATATTGAAACATCCTGCTGTAAAGCTCTATAAAAACTCTTGTGATTTTCTTAAACGGATTTGTACTGAATTTATGTTGACAGCTCCGTTAAAAAATCTTAGTACTGTTTGATTTTTAGGTCAGTTTTGGAGTTTGCTGCTGTTGTTTATGAACCGTGATATATTGCGAGCAATAAGAGCCAGATCGATAGAGTGCAACACATGTTTCTTAATTTTACTGCGTATTTTCTGCAAATTCACAATAAACTCATAAGCCTCTTGACAACGAGCACGTAATTCTAAGACTAAGTCTGTAGTCCTTAGAGGATATCTGATATAACCAGACATTCTTATAAAAGCTGATCGATGGGTTTTTCGTCTTGAATTACTTTATACTTGGTCGAGTTAATTTCAAAGTCGTCCGTATTCTTTTTGTATACTACTTTGTACCATAGTTAATCAATTACTCCTGTAACCGACGAATTTTGATTATTGCCGATCGATTTTAATAAAAATGTATTGTTTACTATCTAAAGTGATTAATATAATTGACAAATTATCACTTGTTTCATAGCGTTCATTCAAAGAAAATATCCCAATATATTTCCCAAATTGATAGCTTTTTATAAACAAAAATGTTTTGTGAAGTATTTTGACATCGAAATAAATGTATCATACAAAATAGATATTATACGTGTAATTCGTTCCACGCCAAATGTGGTTTGAAAACCGAAAAATTAAAACAATTAACGGAGTTTGGAATTTAAAAAAATGCAAATCTGGTCAGAATGAAACCAAAAGACATTTTCACCAGCATTATAACATTATTCAAAGTATTTTAATTTATGATAATTTTGCATACTACAAAAAAAAAAAAGAATCGTACGCTTGTCAGAAAAATATCTTCAGCGGTTTGATTGACGGATAAACGCAATAGTACGATAATATAGTATATATAATATTCACGAACCTTGAACCTTTATATTATATAAAGTTTGGACAGGAAAAAAAACTTCACAAAACTGTCCGTCAGAATGTCAATAATACACAAATCCGTTTCACACATAAAGTTCACTAATGAATGGCTTCCGCGGCATCGCGGTTATGACGAGGGGTTACGCGTTTTCAGACAAACGTTACGCCGTTACGCGTGTATTGAATACAACATATATCCGCAAACTGTAATAACCGCGAAACTTGTTATAATAATATCGATCGTGTGGTACATTGAAATAATCATGGGCGTATTATGGCAATAGTATTATATGGACTGCGTTCAAGCCGTTATCTTATCGGTCGTAATTATGCTCGGGACACGGTATCAGGGTCGTACCGAATAAAAGGAGAAGGGACAAAGAGGGCATCTTTCTCTGGGCGCCGGAAGCGCCACAAATTTACGGGGCACGAATTTTAAATTGATATTAAGTTTAGACACCAATAACATCACGGCAGCAAAAGTAAAACACAGCATGAATAAAATAACAACAAACATAGTATATTTGTCTAGATGTTGCCTAATAAACAATTCAGGAATTTTTTTTTATTTGCTATAATTCCCAACCTCTTGTAGCAATAATCGTGTTTTGACGCTGTAAACAGTTTACTGATTAATTTTACGGTCACCTTTATAATATGCATTCCGGTTGGTAAACGGTTAGCGAAAAATTGCGTACATTTGGTTACTGAAACATTTGATTTTAATAACACAAAAAAATCTAAAAAAAAATTATGATTGAAAAATGGATTAATAATTTTTTTTTTTCTCGTCATGTTTTTCATAATAGTACTATTACTATCCATAACCTATCGCTGATTTATTATACTCCCTTAAACATAGCTCGTTATATACAGAAACCTATTTGTAAATATGAGTTTCTCAATTAAAAGTTCTCCCCGATATTTTCAACGACGATAAAGGACATTATAATATCTAATGATAGTTATGTTAATAACAATATCATGGATATCATGAAAACCTAATTGACATCAGCAAAATCATACTACATAAGTTCAATAATTCGGAATGAGCATTTCAGTATAAAAGCTAGTGTCAAAGAGTGAACTATGAAAAACACTGCATATAATTTCCACGCTCTTTGCCGTATAGATTTTACAATTTATTTTATTTTCTATTTGTTATTATTCATCTGTTCATCGCACAATTCAAACGTATTTACTATATTCCAATTGGTAACCAAATAAAAATACCAATTCGAAATGGACGGTTACCAAATTAACCAAACTGTTTACTAGAAAAAGTACCTAAGTGGGTTTCAATAACCAACCAGCTAAAACGTTATCGGTAAACAGTTTACTGGCGGTTACAACGTAAAAATATCACGCCTAATGTTATTACGTCTCAATGTAATGTAGACTGGAGGTGAGAAACACGCAGTCCAAAATGATATTATGTTAATAATCTAGGTACGTCTATAAAAATAATTATTCGTATTTTTATAGCAAATTCGACGTAGAAAAAAATTATAATATTATGTTAAGCGTTCGTAGAATTGTACAGAACTATCAGTTTATTATTTTACAAATTAAGTTACTGACAAAGTTTAGGTACCTATGCATTTACCTTTAAACTTTCCGGTTAGAAATATAAGACGTAAAAAAAAAAAAAAAAAACACCACTTCAGTTTATTTCGTGCGTATAGAATATTTGAATAAAGAAGAAAAAAAAACATAAATAACACTTTTTATGAGACATTTTTCAAGTTGTTTATCTATTATATTGTAGATATTTTTACAAGCGACATATTTAGAGGCTTTTGTATATTTTTGTTTTCATTATTATTTAGAACTAAATGAAATATTAAAATGTTAAATTATTTTTTATATTTACATTTTACGTGTGCATTCAATTATAAAAAATATAATACATATGTATACATATATATATAAATATATAAACCTAAAACCTACTTGTTTAATAATACATCAAACAGTTTATTAAAGCTGTTACGAATAGCTTATTATGTTTAACATGAAACTACTACACATTATTTTACTATCATAGTTGTATATTATATTTTCTGTTCGTTATATTTTCAAGTACATCCGAACGTTTTGCACGCATATTCATTTATTTGTTTAAAACGAAGTCGAATTTTTTGACCATGTACACACTTTTATTTTTGTTTTAATTAATCCAGAAACCGAACGCGTAAACATTTTTCGTGGTTTCGAACGGAATTTTCAAAAATGCCGGTTAAAATGCCTTAACCGGTTTCGGTTAAGGTTTTTTTACTAATAATGATTAATGATTAATAGAATTAGTTAAACAATTTTTTTTCGACGTTATTGAATTAATCTGTGATAATACTGTAGTTATACAGTACCTATTTATTAAAGAAGATTTCGGATCATAAAGTGGATTTTCATTATCGTTGGTGGGAAAACTGCCGATAACTCCTATCTAGAATCACTGGTTTGGACAATGAATTGACTTTTTGACAGTTGATTTGTTAATTTTACAATGCCTAATTATTAATTATATTATACGAATGTATAACCGTTTTCAACATCGTTCGATACAGCCTGGCGGTAACTATAATATTTAAATGGATTTTTTCCTTCCTTGAAAACTTTCTATAGTAAAACATTAGGATAACCGTTTTAAAAGTACCCGTGTAATTTCTATGTAAATAAAACGGTCTTGTAATATTGCTATACCAAATAAATTAAAAACGTGTACCTATACTGCTTGTAGGATGCGTCTATCGCACACGTCAAGTCGAAATAATTGCATATTATAATGTTGTATAAATATTCATCGCGATACATAGTTACCCGGATATCGTTTTAATATTGTAAGATGAATGACGTAAAAAGAAAACAAAAACGAATATATTGTGTTTTTTAAAACAAAAAACTGTAAAAAAGGTAAAAATCTGTCACACAAAAGTCACATAGTAACAAAATAACAATACGTATGATTTATTCCTACGACATGCTCTTTTTATCAGTCTGTTATCAATAATAATTTGATCATTTGGATCCATTTAATAGTCTAATTAAAAATACAACAAAATTTTTTTCGACGATCATATTATGTATCAAAATATAAACTAATATTTGATTATTAACAAATAAGAGTTATGTATTATTTTTAACAATACAATTAGTATTTAAATGCTTAAAATGTAAAATATATAAAGTTTTGAAGTAATTTTACATCATATTTAACTGTAAATTTGTGTTTGTTTGGATCCAATCATACTCGATATAAGGATTTTTTTATAATATGACATTACACTATTCAAACTATTCTAACTCAGTAAATTGTTCGGAGCCTCTACGTCGATTCCGGTCTTGCGGATGAAACGATAAGAGAACTTTATTTTTTTTATTTTATAACAAAAATTTCGCTAAAAACGTGTTACCACATATTTTTACGTTGGCTACCTTACTACTTTGTATACGAAATTGCCAACATCTTCACGTACAAAGAAAAAAAAAACAAGATAAATATTTTACTTATTCATTCATTCGGTGGTAACGGCGGTGCACGAGTGCGCAAGGGTGCGGGAATTCCCATCGCATCGTCAGGACACTCCAAAACACTGCCGTCGGAGGGTTATGTGCAGACCGGATGCTGTATATATGCCTATAAAGGCGGCGTTTGAATTGAAAAAAAAAACAATAGTAGGGGAAAGTATATTGTTTCAGAAAAGAATTACGGTTTCAAAAACTCGACTTTTACCCCGGCAGCGCAGTGGCACGGCGTACCGATACATAGCCCGGAGATACGATGCAACAACCCGCCGTCACAACCCACATAATTATACGTCCTTATATAAAATAATAATGAAGTACATAATGTGTGTAGGGATGCTGCGTGCGTCCCATTATATCCTTTTTTGATGTAAATTGCGGCCCGGGTAATTTGGGGTGTAGATGTGCCTATATACAAAAAATGCGAAATCGTACAACCCGTATATCATTTTCATTAACATATATATATATATACAAAAATTATAAAGAGAATCCGGTCGAAATTATATGTTTCTTTAGCTCTTGATACATTTCATGAAATTGTCTTTAGCGCAATAAAGTTATTTGTTCCTAAATCGCATATTGGTAATAGCTCTTTCCCTAAGTGGTATATCAAAAAATTAAAAATTATGATTTTTGTTGAAAAGAAACGTCTCCATAAATAGTTTAAATGTTCAAATTATCGCAAATATTTTATGGAGTTTTCTAAACTACGCGCTTTATGTAAAATGAAATCTAAGTTAAATAATAATTCCTAAATTAATGATATTCAATCTTATTTATCACATATAACCCTAAGTCTTTCTTGAGTTACATTAAAACTTAAAAAACAATAATAATATTCAATCTGTTATTGAACTTGATAATATTAGTAAATCAAACGATCCTGATATATCTGAATTGTTCAAAGAGTACTTTAGATCGGTTTATACAAAAGATTTAAATAATTCTATGTCCCGATTGACTAACATAGTAGATTTATCTAATATGCAGTTTTTCTCTGTCGGAAATATTCTTAGGGTTTAATGGTTTAAACTCTAATTGTTATCCTGGTCCTAATAAAGTACCAGAAAATATTCTTAAATCATATAAATACGCTTCATCAATCCCAATTCGTATTCTTTTTAACTGGCCCCTTTCTAATGGAATAAACCCTTCACTTTGGAAGTTAAATCCGGCTCAAAAAATTTAATATCTAATTTTAGACTCCAGAATCTCCAAACTTTCTTCATTATCATAATTTCTCGAAAAACTTTTAGAGTCCATTTTATCTCAACCTTTCAAGTATCTAATTTGTTCAAATCAACATGGCATTAGACCAGGTTGGTCTACCGAAACTAATCTACTATGCTTTTACTCTGATATACTTGAACCTATTAAGAAAGGTCTTCAAGTTGATATCATTTATACTGACTTTCTTAAAGCGTTTGATTTAATAAATCACCGAATCCTTCTTATTAAGTTAAAAAAATTGGCTTTTTTGGCAACTTATTAAATTGGTTTGAATCGTATTTACTTGATCGTCGTTAGCAACTAATAGTCAATGGTTATTTATCGTCTAATTACGAAATAACATCCGGTGTCTCACAAGGTCGACATTCATTCCCGTTGCTGTTTTTAATATTTTTGTTTGATATCGGTTCGATATTCGATTAATGTATCGCAAATAAATTAAAGCTCAACGTCTCAAAATGTTCTAAAATCTCGTTCTGTCGAATAAAAAATAAAGTAAATTTTAACTATGCAATTAGTAATATTCTACTACCCAATGTTACTATGATCTATGATCTTGGTATTACATTTAAATTTGACCTTATATTTTCTACTTACATTGACTAAATTTATTTAAAAATCATAAAACACTAGGATTCTTAATTAGATCTACCTCATCTTTTACTGATATTTATTGTTTAAATACCCTATACTGTTCTCTGGTTCGTTCTATATTAGAATACAAGTCTATTGTATGATGTCCATTCTCGTCCAGCCATATTAATAAAATTAAAAGGGTACAAAAAAGATTTTTGCGCTTCTTTGGTTTTAAATTAATATCAAATAATGAAAATTACTAGAGTATAAATGATATTCAAAATATTCTTAATCTTAATCTGTTATCTACTCGTCGTACAAAAGCTGATATATCAATCCTTGCTAAACTAATTAATGGCAAAATTATTTGTTCCTCTCTTTTGGAACGTATTTCTTTTAATGTTTCCCAATATTACTCATGATCATGTCTTACTTTCTATAACAAAACCCACAGTACTAATTATGGGTATTAAATCCCATTGAAAGAATACTGAGGCTGGGAAATGAATCTGGACTTAAATTCTTTAATCTTTAATTTTTTAATATTTTGAGTATAACTGGCTTTTTGATTTTAATATATATATTAAGTATTTAATTGCATTTAACTAATCATATATTTTATATTTAATGCTGTCATGGTCTATATTACATGTTTATTGTTGCTTATTATAATATAATATGTTACTATTCTGATGTATATTATTCCTTACTCAAACCAACTTTGGCGTTTATTTAAATAAATAGATATTGTTTTACATATAAATATTATGTATTCTACAAAAAACTAAAAAATACAAATATTTAACATTGCAAGGCGAAACGTTCAGCTATTGAAAATGCCGTTAAATAAAATTGATTATTGTTTGTAACACACAATTTTGACTTCCACGCCGATCAGTTCTAATCGATTTACTCGTACTAAAAACAATACCTTCGTCGATTGAAATAAATATATCTAATACGGAGACCTTTCCAGTTATTCGTCGTGTGCTTTTAACCACGTAATACTTACCTCGTATTTAATCATGATAAAGAATATATTATATTATATAACACGGCTGCAATTCAACATAACCGAAATGTTTAAAGACATAATATGAAATGTAATTTAGATTCAGAGCGTGACAATCGATCTATTGGTTTAACTATGATGAATGTGGTTTACATTAGAAGCGTGGCGAGGAATCTACTAGTTTAACTATAATTCGTGTATTTTTTTTCTGAAAGATAATTTTCTCTTGTTGGCACGTTAGGGAGGTCATTTATTAATTTTTCAACGGGTGATCATAATAATTAAGAAAAACTGGAAAAAAAGTACAGGATTTTCCGAATTGTGTTTTCTACCAAAAATCTATCAGTTAACCACAAAATACCTTTTTTATTGAAATTTTAATCTTGTTGGTGAATGAGTAAGATGTTTTTATTTTTAAAGCGGTTTCGATAATAATTCGGTAAACAATTATTATAGAGATCTGAAAATTGTACGGAATAATTATATTACATATTTACTTTATAATATTTTTAAACATTTTGGCGATTTTTTTAACTATTTATAGGCATTTTATATTTGCTACTTTTTTACGTAGTATCTAAGTAAATATAATGGTTTGCCCTAACGTAAATATTTAAAAATTTAACAGATGCATTATATGTAGTACTTAGTGAGCAAAAAAAAAAGAAAAAAAAGAGTGTAATGTATTAGTTTTATTTTATAATAATTTTATGTTTAAATTTTAACAAAAATTGTAAAAATTACGGCATTTCAAAACTCGCATCTGAAAGTCACTCAGAATCGTTTTTCATAAGCAATGTGGTATATCGTTTTTTTTAGATATAAATAAATCTCTTTTATGTATCCTGCCTTCCTAACTTCATATCTACAACATGCCCCTAGTATGAACTCTTTTTTTTTTTTTTTTTTTAAATATATTTATTATTATCTATATTTCATTAACTATAAAGTATTATAATTTATGATAATAATATATTAAACTAAAATAAAATTAATTTTTCATGTTCTGAATTTGAAAAAAAAAATAAATAAATAAACATAATTTATAAATTTGATTTATTCTTACATACCAACATAATTTTACCTATATTTTCTCATACCAACGTAATTCGTCCTGTATTCTGAATACAGCGAAAAGAAAATAGTTTTACCAAAATGTTTTTTTCTCTTCGGAAAGAACTTATTTGATTAGTAAAAATGATTATTTTTGACGCCATGTCTTAAAAGAAGAGGATTATTCACATTAGATTTTCGAGTTTCTCTAATAGTTTTTCTAACAAAATAGAAAATTAACAATAAATGACAAAACATGGGTTTTATTATTTTTTTTTTTTTTTTGGGTTAACTTGGGTACAATTGAAAAAAAAACACGATTAATAACATACAACATGTTATATTTTTATCATTAATCTGATTTAGATGAATGAGAAATAAATTGTCTGAGATAAATTATTTAATCTTATAGATCAGAGGTTCCCACCAAACTTTTTATTGTACGACCCATTTTGGGAAATTTTTAAAATTTGGCGACCCACAATATCAATGAATGACTTTTTTTTGCTGACATTTATCACCTCGATTCATCCATATGTAACGTACAAAAACAATCATCTGAGATAAGCCTTGCATATCTGTGGACTCATCTAGTTGTAATGAAAACCATGTACTCAAATTAACTCTTTCGATCAATTTATAACTGTCGGTTTCTACCCATTCAGAAATTTCGTCGATTCCACGTGGAACTATATTATTTGAAAGCGATAACTTTTCAACTTCTTTTAAACTATTTTGATCAAACATTGATCCCGACTGCGTCTTTTATTGATGGTAAAATTAAAAACTCACCAATTGTGCGAGGCTTACCAGTTTGAGCAATTTATAAGAAAACTTATTTTAAATTAGGCGTACGTAGCTTTTTGGTTCATTGCAGTAAAATTAAAAATATTATTTTTTGATGTTTTTAGAGATTCTAGTTTTCTTCCATAAAAATCGAGTGGTTTATTCTTCATTTCTGGATGGTTCGTATCTACATGTCGATGTAGTTTGTTTGGTCGCATACTCTCATTAGCAAGTATACATCCACAAATAACACATTGTGGACGTGGGTGTTCTTCGTCTCCATTCCACGAAAATCCAAACTGTTGACGCAGATATTGTTTCTGTTTTTTCTTAACTTTGAGTCATTGATTATTTGTTTAACCATTTGTCCATAGTTGTACAAAAGTACAAAGAAAACAAATTTATTTGAGAAAAAATAATATTAAATATACAACTGCGTACATGTATCGTATTCAATGTACCGCGTGTAACTGAAAGTAATCAAAAGTTTTGAACGTCGTGCAGATACCTACTAATTTGTATGTTCTGATAAATCATTATCTTTTCAATAACTAGTAATCTAATTGCGTCTTTTTGACTCGGTCGCTGTAAACTCGTAATCGTCACACTCACAGATAACGATTGACGATAAAACTGAATTTTAACAACAATGAAAAGTAATAGATGTTTAAAAAATGTAATATTTGAAAATATAACGCGACACACCGAAAATATAATCGCAACCCACTTTTGGGTCGCTACCCACAGTTTGGGAACCTCTGTTATAGATAAACTTGTTTTAAATCGTACTATAATATACGAGTATATAGTACATTTATTATAAATAACAAGTGAAATATTGATTTTATATTTATATGGTGCAACAAACTAATTATTAAATTGTATCAATTACACAACCTTTTTAAAATGTATTTGTGTACCGGATTCCGTGAACTTTTTAATATACTTTTAGCACTTAAGTTTATAATAAAATGAATTAAAGTTGAATACAATTGGAAATCTTTCTCTTTTCTAGATAATTCTGTTGTTCTGTACCATTTAGTTCATAATGTTGTTTTTAAATGTATCTTTATACAATATTTGCTTTTACATAAATACCGATACTTGGTCCAACAGTGAATTATAAACCAGTAGCAATGCGAACAGTAACATTATATTAATATTTTAATATATTACTGCATATAACCTTACCAAGCTACGTTCAGAATCGTGTTTGTATTGCATTTTTATTGTGTCATCTAAATTGTCTTATACATTATTCACTTTCCAAATACTTACTACCAACAATTGACGGTGAAGCCTACCCGTAGTATGGTGTATGTTCGGCTTTTATGGCTCGTTTGTACACTCATACGCTACTGGAATTGAAAACAGACAGTTAATCATTTGGCTAATAACACAGCCCGAAATACGGCAAACGGGTTATTTTTTCGACTAGGAGTAAATCGGTGAAAGAGCTGACGGAAGTACTTTCGGCACAGGTCGACGGAAATAATGTCGGAAGTATTTCCGGTGCGGGATACCGGTACACCGGATACAACTTCCCTCCTCACACGACACACCACCGTTACAATTTTCTTATCAACCCGATTCAAGATGTTTACGCGTAACTATCTTAAGTATCCTGACCGTGGCTCACACAGTTTTTTTTTTTTTTTTTACGTTAAACCACGTGCTCGAGTAGTATCGACAATTTATTATTTCCGGGTAAATAAACTATAATGTTATTACTATTCGCTACAGGATATAATATAATGGAATAATATATTATTTTAAATAAAATATTTACAAAAAAAAATTATAATAATAATAATAAAATAAACTGTCGTACGACAATATCGATGCGGAAAATAATATAGTGTAGCAAACACAATTCGCACACTATTATTATAGTAATATTTAGTATATGTATTATTGTAATGGTTTCTACGGCGGACCCGCGTTAAAAAAAAAAAAAGAAAAAAAACACTGACGGGTACTTTTTATAATAAAATGAAATATATACGCGCCGTTTGAAAACGCATATTCATATTCTGTTATTATTATACGTCACGGTGCATCTTGTTTTAAAATAATAATTCCCCCGTCCGTTCGGATCGGGAACAAATTGAATTTCATTCTACAGCAGCGCATTGTGTACACAAAATATTCAATATTTCTGAAACAAGCCAATAATAATAATGAAAAAATGTAAATAAATAAAAACAAGAAAAAACGAAAACAATTTGTTCAAACTTAAACGTAGGTAATCTCCGTCATTTTGAATAATATTACGGAGAAGTTTAATAACGAAAAAAAAAAAAAAAAGCAGTTTTGAATTATTATACGGTGATATAAATGGTTTAGCGGAACTCGAGTAAATAATATGTACATCGTTATATCGAAATTCGAATCTGAATTTTACGAAACGGTATTTAAAAATAAGAATATTATTTTGTGCGTTTATTTTCAACCTAATTGATTGGCTTCTTACGTTAATGATACATCGATTGATTAATACATAAATAGTATTAATAAAATGTGATTGAACGGTACTTTGTTGCATTTAGAAATCCCGCGGTAAAATAAAGCGGTAAAACCTATATTGATGTTATTTCGATGTGATATTTTTTAGTATAGGCTTTTTGCAATAAAATGTGATGAGCGTGTTGATCTAAAAATGATATGCTTTTTCTAAAAAAATTACGGTACAGAAAGTTACAGCTACTAAAAAAACAAAGAAACCAAATACTAACACGGCTGTAATTTTATTTATTTGACAATATTTATAGAAACTCAAGCAATGTGCTCTCGAATATAATTTCCACCTTCAAATTTTTATACGTTAAACCCTAAATTTAAACCTAAACGTCACCATATGTAATATGTTCTGTTTCCCCTTTTCTCGTTAGTTAGACTGTGATAATTGAAACGATTGTGACCTCCGTTTAATAGAATATCATTTGAGAGGCAATGGGCTCCTGAGATTATTGGAAGATTGGTAGTTATTTGATTTCCATACAAAAATGTTTAGTTTGTATTTCCAACTTATTCTAGTAAAGGACATAAATAATTATAATTCGTTTTTAAAATTGAAATTTTTCAATTGAAATCTCTACAGTTTTATCTGGCGTTTCGATCTCTAGCGTCATATTCGTCCGTAAAAACGGTCATACCATTTTTCCTTAAATTAGTATCAGTTTTGAGGTTAATGGAAATGTCTTACTATTAAGGTAGAGTCGTTGAAGTGTGAAATGTAAAAGTGTAAACGTTACAAATGCGGAGAAAATTTGGAAAACTCCAAATTAATACAACCAAATTGAAACAAATGACTAAAATAGTGACAAAATTAATATTATTATCACGGTCGCGATGGGTATACAACAAATTTGATTGTTATTTTATTGATATAAAATCTTATGGACACTATTATATTATGTTTGACGTAGCCATACTATTAACATACTATGACCAACGATGCGTCAGTCAAACGTCGAAATTTCGAAAAAGATAATCGGGACTGCTATTGTTATTAGCTATGTAACAACTATCGTACAAGATTAAGTAAAAACCAATTTATGAATCAAAAACTCGTCTACCTAACGTCTAGTGGTTAAACAATAAGCAAATATCCGTTGGACTGAATAAATACATTAGCTATAAAAAAAAATATAAGAAACAAATACCTATACTTTCGACAAATTATCGAGGTGAAACTTGACCGGGAATTCAGTGAATTCAGCGGGTTGAATGACTTACTTATATAATTTAAACAGTCATAAATAGATACGAAATGAAAACATTTTTTCATCTCCTTCTCTTAACATGGCTGCTCTCTGATATTTTTGGAAAACACTAGAATTTCTCGACATCCATTCCATTTCTATCTTGTATCATTTCCTTCTAATTTCCCATAACCAACGCTCCCAAATCGTCATTGTCTTTATATTTGTATGGGTCTGTCACACGGATGATTTTTCTTGAGTATTCCATTCAAATGCTGCTCGTTTAGTGACTTACGTATATTATTTAATGCATAATATGATTTATAAACTAACCATTGAATCGTTTAGCTTTTAATACAACTACTCAGCTTGATAAGCTTGTGTGATTCTTTGTTTTCATAATATCCCCTTCATCAATTGCGTAAATTTACGCCAAGAACTTTTTTGGGTTATAGTGTTTTGAAAATGTCAATCGAGTTCGAACATTACCTACGTTAGCACTGAACTGAACGTGCATCAAACTACGATGAGCATACAGTGAAATATAATATCCTTACACTGTACAACACTGTTAGTCTATTACAGGATTGGAATGGTTTCATTTTAATTTCGGAAATAAGGTAAATACTGGGTGTTGTGCCGGAGGTTTATTTGTTTTACCCATGTCTTCCGTTGATTAATTATGCTCCGCTACAACTACTGTTGTGACTACCTCCGAACTCAGAATGTTAATTCAACCGTCACGAAACAATCAAAATATTACGTTTTTCTCTTTTATACAATCTTACGCGTACATAAAACTTGTATAAAATGTTAATAATAATTTATATTATATTATATTATTTATTTGTGCTATTCTGTTTCTTAAATCCGGTCTCTATTTTTCTATTCTTTTCTCCATCTATCAATTCTCATACGCAAATAATTATCGACAATTTCCGGTAAACAATTAATCTTTGCTAAACAAAAAACTACCTACGAGAAGAAAACATCTGGAATGGAATAATAACATACTGCACCCGGTTTTGGGTCCGTCGATCATTATGCTTTACACAATAGTTACGTATCGACAAATCGACAAACTAGTGCGTTATCAATTCGTAATATCGTATTTGGCCATTCAAGCCTTCGACCACCATGCGCTCATTTATACTGGATTTTTAATCGAATAGAAAAAATGTACAATATTTATCGAAAAATGAATTCAAAAATATACTCTGATTTGTAATGCAAAACCACGTCGAATAGGTCGCAGAAGAAAAAACAAGAAAAAATATACACATCATAGTAAAACCAATTTGATTCGCTATGAATCTGAAAAACGCAAAAAGGTGTGCCTTTACCATCGTAATCTAAGCTGTTACCATGGAACAAACGGTTTTGGTAACAACGTTAATAAGTATACATATTTCAAAAATCAATTATATAACGGATGAAGTATATTTGATCTGAAAACGGGTACAGTATTTTAAGTTGTTAATATGCAACCGAGAGACTACTTTATATAGTGTTTGTGATATCTGAAGAGATCCACGACTACGAGAAACTTTGTTAGACTTATTAATGGATATCATAAAATTGACAACTACTTGGTATTAAATTTCTTTAGTTCGTTTTATATGGAAACCCAGCTTTAAACTATTATTGAACACCTATGGACAGATGAGTCTGTGTTTAAAGTTTCAGATCTCTGTGTGTAATAAACTTTGTCCAAACCGATGATTGCAATTTGTCTACTAGGTCATAAAATTGACTCCAATCTCAACAAAAACCCAATCCCGTCGTTGGAATTGGATTTTTGGATCAGGATAGAACTACAAAGTTACATAATATATAATATGTACCTACACCTAATCAAATAGTGGCAATCGTAAGACAGTAGTAAGTTTCCAGCAGTTGAATTCGAATAACAGACTTCATTACAACACTATTCAATTCGTTGTCGAAAACCGGAGGACGTGATACAGAATTCGGTGCACGTAAAAATGCACAAAACGAAAGTCGAGTATTGAAAACTTGGTTTTTTTGGGGGGGAATGGGGCAATATGGCACGTACTCCCCTGTGCAGTCAATGTTAACACGTACTGCGGGTCGCTATTTGATCTATTGCACTTGAAAATTGCCTCTCATCCACCACTTGATACTTCTATCACGGTTATGGGTGAAAGTAGTAGAAAAGTATGCTACTAATGGACAGTCAGATCCGCGGTCGTTTTGGTTATCCATTCTATCCAATGTCCTCGATTCCTTATGTCCACTGTTTAGCTTTCGCAACATATAGATAGTACTGTTATGTCGAGTGACATAACTTCACAATTTTGACACGTGAGTGAAATTTTCAAAAGTCCCACCCTCATTCGGGCATATAAAAGGAGGTCTGAGAGGGAGGGCATGTCCCTTACTGAAATTATTCTATAGGTTTTTTAAAAATTTAATTGCATGTTTTATTAAGTACACGACATATCATTGTTCATAAATGAAAAATAAAACCAAACGTTTAACGATTAACAATAAAACTTTATAATAGTCATATTGTTTTCATCGTATCAGTACCATACTCATGAACATTATTTTGATAACAATAATATAAAATAATAACTTTGAATTATTTATAAACCTAATAGGTAATTTAATAGTATATTATCAAAATAAAAACACTGTATTACTTCGAGCCCCTTAAGCGAACAGGCCTAGATACAATCGCACCCTCTGATCACTCTTAGTTACGCCACTGGTTTCGCCCTCGGCATAGCGAATAGTCACAACTCTAGTTTTAGATAGTAATAATTAAATGATAAAGTTCGATTATTATAAACTCGACCACGATAAGTCCCTATTAGGCACGAGGAAAACCGTTTTCTGTAACGGCGACCACAACCTTTCGTTGGTAGGCAAGGGGGAGAGTATAAAGTAGTCCCCAAAGACTATTATAAATAAACCACAATAGTACGGACTAAGATAGAATGGACTGGACATAACTGGGTAGACAGATAACGAGGGGTCGGACCGTTGGAATATTAATTTCCTCTTTACGAAAATGACGACCAATTAGTTTTAACACTACCGATGGTTCATTTGGTGTCTCAATTTAACCATGATATTATTTTTTTTCTTTCAATCATTAGATATTTAAATAGAATTTTAAATTATTAGTTTACATTAAAACCCTTAAATTTATTCATCTCTCGTACGAAAATTTGGTGCCACTAATAAACTGCTCGGTAGGTACTAGTCTATTCCATATTAGTCGGTGCTCAAAATCGAACAGTCAAGTTTTTGATAATGAATTATTATAAAACATAAAATATGATCAATAATCGATTAGGTTAAAAATAAATTAACGATGAATCCCGAAATAATTACTCTGAACAAAAATTCTGGTTATATTGAAACCTATGTCGGTTTCAAAACGATATCATTTTTAATTAATTAGCTTACAAGACATATGTCAGACCAACCTAATCTTACCTAACCTAACCAAGAAAATATATAACATAATAACATAGTTAATGTAAGAATTTAGAAATTGTTAACAGCTGACAAGGTAATCCTGTTACAAATGGTTTTTTTAAAGTTTACTGTTTTTTTTTATATTTCATTAAATATTTTGGACTAGTATTTAGCAATTCTGGGAAGGAGGGTATTCAAAACAAGCCCACCGATTTACGTTTTGTATTTACTGTGTTCCCCACTACTCTGAACATCTGCTCGAGTACAAGTTAATTATTCAACATGTACGTGTCCCTCGACTCGAGTATGGGTATACACTAAACATCTTATCGCCGTACGACTCGGTTGTGTTCTCTCGTTACGACGCACAGTGTCATCGCTATCCGGAGCCCAGAAGCCGGTCCGTCGGGGTTTCTCTCCGGCACGTCCGTGTGTTGTACGTGAACATCGGTCCGCTCACGTATACGCTCGATCGTGTTTATACGAAAAACCTTATTTTAAACCATACCGAAAATTATACCATCAAAAAAAAAAAAAAATGCACAGTGATGCATTCTGGTTTTATTTTCAGGAAGGATATAATAAGTAGCCTTAAAATTGTATTTCAATGTTGGGTGAGAGTGGTCTGTAGTTATCGAATAAACCCATTTTAATATCGGATCCTTTTCTACTGATTTTAATATAAGGATTGGTGCTTCGCGGCAATATTTTCTCCGTTTCTCAACTTGACCTAACCTAACCTACCTCAATCTATATCACCGTATCATTTTACAGGTGGTCTGTACTTAGACGACAATCCACTGCAATGCGATTGCGGACTTCTGTGGCTGGGCCAATGGCTGCGCCGGTGGCTCCGGGAAGCGGTGGAGGTACACACGCTGGGCATGGCCGAGACCCAGTTGGCTCAGTGGACGGTCCGTCGTGCCATGTGCACGGACCCTAGGAACGGTGGCGCCCGGGTGCCTGTGGCCGATATCTACCCCGAGGACTTGCGGTGCAAGGCAAGCGCGTTGAGTGGCAGTGGCACCGGCAACACGGCCGCCAAGACGTCGCACCTAATTGTCTGCCTGACCCGTTCACTGGCCGTTTTCTACTTAGCCACCGTCTGGTGCAACGTATACTGATTTACGTCACCACCGTAAATATTACCAAAACTTATAACAATAATAATAATAATAATAATAATATATGCGATATTATTACGCGTACCTTGAGAACTGCATAATATTGTACCATAAAATAACGGTTTTTTATGAATACATGCCGATTTGTTTATCAATTTTCGTTCATCCACCCACGGTAGTGTTTCCAGCCCGACCCTGTCGCCGTCATCGCCGTACAAGGTAAATGGTGTTATTTGACGATCCTTCGAAAATGTTAACCGTTTTTCCGGTCAAACGATTTCTTTCCCCTCTCCGGCTCTGCAATTTATTTCAGTGTCACTAGGTTGTCGTCACCGGTATAATTATACGAGTAGTCACCCTCGACAAGACGTCATCGTCGACACGAACCCGAACGCCCTTTCCGGTCATATCATCCAAATAATCGTTTATAGTGGATTTTTCCCGGAAATTCTCCGGGGATGACCTTCTTTACCTAACACCCAATACGCGCAACCGGTCATCCGTTTCATAATCGATTTGGAAATAATCCACGGAATTTTGATTAATAAAATAATACAGTCCGTCGTGCCCGTATAAAATCTATTAGTTTTCAACATATTTTCCAAATAATAAGCATTCTATTCTCGAGTACACCGAATTTCCCGGACTATTTTAATACGATTTTAATCCGTATAAGAATTACGTTACCAAATTCCACGCGAACGATGGACCATTTTTGATTGCACGATCAACTATCGCGGTTGCACGAAACTATAACCATATTTTCACTAATATATTTTATTTTTATTTAATTTAATTTAACATTAAAAACCAGTGATTATAAAGCGACATACGCCGCAAAGTCGCAGTATTTTAATGAAATACCGTTTTGTTTGTGTAGAGGATATTAACGTCAGTGTTCCTATTCAATAGCGAAAAGTCTTATAATCGGAATATTAGATAAACCTGAACATATTGATTCGGTGCATAAACTATAATGTTATAATGTTTCCAATACTTTACATTTCCGAACAATTCGTTTGCTTTGCAATATTGTTGTTGTTTTTCCTCGATACCCAATAGACATTACGTCATAATAGTAATAATATATTTATAGCCGTTTGAAGATTAATAGTCTGTATCAATACTGTATATCGTATCCGTTTTACATGCGATTTGTTACGGTTTTCCGGATAATAATTTACTTATATAATAACATTTAACAAATATATACAAAATAACGATTCCATTAGATATTATTTTAATTGAGTTTATATGTTATAAAATATAAATATTCCGTTCCGGTTAAATATTGATTTAAATAAATATATTAGTAAACTCACGCGAACGAGCACCACCGTATTATACATACGGACGACGGGTTGATTCCGACGAACCATCGAAGAATACAGTTTTTATTATTTATCCGTATTGTTATTCTTTTTATTTTCGTCGTAGAATCGTGAACACGTATAAGCCCTTCGTCCGTCTTCTCCCTGCGTCCGTCATTAACGAAATCAAATATTATGGTTGAAGAGGGAATTGGGGTCACAACGAGATCTAGTAAACTTCTATTATAATACGATAATAATATAGTCGGTCCTTTTTATGGCCGACTTGAGTTAGTCACGGATGACCAAATTCGTATCTGAACATAGTTTTCAGCCTTTTGACCATATTCAAAACTAGTAATATTTTATGTAAAAAAAAAAAAAATCCATATATATGTATATATGTATTCTCTATTTTGTACATTGAAAAACTTTTTTTTTTTTTTTTACCGAATCAAATAAAATGTAAACTGTGAAATAATAGTAAACAAATTCGACCGAGAGTAGTAAAGAAAATATATTCGTATTTATATTAATATTATTTTAATTTTAATAAGATACGTTGTTGTGTTTTTCTACGAATAGTAAGTTATTTGTACTCTGTTCACGCGTTTTTGATACAGGAAGAAACGTGTTATTTTATATAAAATGCGTGTCCATCAGAACGCTGCACTTCGTCCTTCCAATAACAATAATAATAATAATAATAATAATTGTATTTATGTCGTACTTTAGATAGATTTATTATTTATTTTTACTTTACATACTTTTTAACTCGATATAAATATTTATATATATATATATTATAGATTTTTGTTGATTATAATAATTATTGGAAAACACCGGAGAAACCACGAGATAACTCCACTATTTTGTAACAGTTCAGGAGCGATAAAAAAAATATCTCAATATCATAACTCTATATTAGTATATATTTTGATTGTGACGTCAAAATACTCAAACGAGATGGCTCCGATACGTTTTTTTTTTTTTTTTTTTTTTCTAAACTAAAGTAGCAAAATATAACGGTTATATCAAAGTTTTGCCATCAAATATTGTAGAATATTTTTATTTTCTCTAAATAATGCTATCGAAAAGTGCATTTTCCAACAAATCGATGGAGTTATCCGGTTGTTGTTGCTACCGAGGTTTTCGTAAATTATAAACCTGTATATGTATACTTTTAATGCTTACGTTTTAAGACAGCTTTGTTTTGTAAATAACGATAAAAAAAAAAATAATAAAAAAATGATTGTTTAAATACAAATTATGATATAATATTTGTTATTTAATCTTTAACCACGTCCTAATAATTTACAGTTTTCATCGAAAAAAAACCCCCAAAATAGCGTTATACTCTATTTACTAGATGATTTTTCTTTTAAATTTACCGAGGCATAAACGAAATGGCCTTTCCTTATTTTTTAATAAGATGTTAATAGAATGGTTTTTTTCGTTCGGTTTTTATTATTATTATTACGATACGTCAGCATCTGGGCCATTAGCATATAATTCACAGCAGCGGTGCTCTCTTTCGCCGATAATATTATATTATTTTCTACTACTTTATGAATATTAATTGCTATTATTATTTTTTTTTTATATATATATATATATAACTTCATTTTTTTTTCTATTGAAGTCATCGAAAAGATTAATATTCGATTCAAGTTACTTACTCTGAATATTGTTGATTTATTTTATATGACCATCGAACTTCCGTTAACCGTCATTTCTATTATATACCGATCTTTTTTTATTGATCCCATCGAATATTATAGAAAAAAGACATTACACTCTGAGTCATTATTTGGCAATCAACCAAATCAAAAATTACTATGAAAAAAATTTCAAACAATAGTCAGACAAAAATACAGCCAAATTTAAAAATAATCAAGGGTTTCAATATATTGCATGGCCGAATGAAAAATTTTAGATTAAATATTTTTTTGAAAAAGTCCAATTTTTTACATGGCCATATTTTCCTCAATTTATTTTGATTTATGTACATTTCTTTTGTGACTATTATCGATATAAACATCATTACTAAGACGTTTAGATACAACCAATCCTTTATTATATAAATTACAGTCATAATATCTGTGTCTAAAAAAAAAAAAAACATTTTATTATTTACGACTTTATATCGTATTGTTAAATCTAGACAAAATTAATTTCGAAAAAAATATTTAAATAATAAAATATTCAGGATAATTTTTTTTTATCATGAACCAGCAATTATCTCAAAGGATTTTAAGTGAATTTAATTTCTGTTTTTTTTTAATCATTATATAATTGTTTAATCTTTATTTTTAAGCCATTTTTAATTTTTTACCCCTACTTTATATACCTTAAATAGGTTTATACTTTTGATTTTCAAACAGGAACCCTCTTCCTCTTTTTGATCACAGATATGAATAAACAATATTTTTCTAGAAATTTTGATACATATAACATTAATATCAGATTTACTGTTTATGAGTTATAATTGTTTTAAGTTTAGACTTGAAGAGTAGGGAAGGGTTTTAGACAGGCAATGTATTAAATAAAGCCCAAACGTTGTCATAATGATTATAAAAATCAAAAATCAAAATACCTTAAAATCCTCTCAGATAATTTCTGATTCATGATAAAAAAAATTAATATGATATACAGCAAACGCCAAAGATATGGGAAATGTAAAAAAATAATCATTGCTGAACACTGATAAAGAGACGACGAATTTAAAAAACTACTGTAACCAATAGCATACGACACGAACAATACGTGTCTATATCACGTGTTTGTATTACTTCAACTTATCTTTTTAAAATTATTATTTATTCACGAATTTTTTATCGGTATTATTATAACTATTATTATTACGACTATTATTCGCCTAGTGCGCTAATAAATTATCGGGTATAATAACAATCTATCCACCGAGCCATATATTTCTAGACAACGCAGCTTGTTGGTACACCGGTTCAGGAACTCGGTGTAGTTCAATCTCTCGGTATTGTTTGACCATATTTAAACAATCTAAACTTGCAAGAGTATTACAACTATAATGTAAAAACATTTACAATTAAATTTATAAGTTGACACGAGAGTAGGTAACTCAACGATCGACTCGATACTTTTTCACAGCAGACACGAATATTGACGAGACATTAAATTGCCGACCGTTCAACCCATGTGAATCACTTACATACAACGAAATCAAGAACAACCCAGTCCCGCGCCACTCAGGTAAAATATAAATAAGCAAACACATGTTGATTTTACACTGAATATTGTATAATAATCGCCGAATCTGGATACACGAAAAATCAAAAAAAAAAAAACTATAAATATAAGAACTTAATTTAGATCGTGCAAAGTGCCCGGTTTCTAATCGTATTTTAAATAATAAACTATAATTCCGTGTATAGTTTTGAAACAAATTGGAATCCAATTGCATATTTGTATTTACTTAAGTAAATTAAATGTCTTAATTTAGCATTAGTTGATAGAACATTTTTTTTTTTTAAATTCTTAAAGCATTTTTAGAATTCAGTAACTTTTTTAAAAGTTTGACCAGTATAAATTTATTATTAATGTACCTATAAATACATAATATTATTTAAATGAATAATAACGACAAAATAATATAGAAAAATAATAATAATGTTATGAATTTTAGATTTAATAATCATGTTCTAGTTAATAATAATAATAATGCTGCGGATAATGATATGCATTATGCTACTTGTGAATGAAATCAACAACCGTAACTATGGTTACTATAGTCGTAACTCTACAGACGAACAGACAGACCATAAAGATGAGAAATATAATTTTTGAAAATTACGACGCAACGATTTCATTATTTAAAATGTTTAAGATTATATTTTTCTATAAGAAATCTTCGTCTAAATTTCAAGTAAAGCATATTTTCAGAAACGAAATTTTCCACGTTTGTGAATAATAGAGTCGTGGTTTGATTTTTCGAACAGTTTTCCTAACGATTACAAAATACCGGGAAAATATGTGAACAACCAAGTGTACAATATTTGAGTTTTTGTTGGTATTCGGTTTAAAATGATTGCAAAGCTCTTTAGTTTTCACAAGATACTTATATTGGCTTGTAGACGGGATAAAATTTTCAAAATATTCTAGGTATTTTTATATGTATTTTCGTATCTTTATTTGGTAGATATCTGTTATAAAATGATAAAACATAAAAGAATACTTGAAAGTTTAACACATTTTACATTGTAAATTGTACTTAGTAGGTTAAAAAACAAATTTGAATATTAGGTTTTTTTTGATAAGCAATTTTAAGGTCCAATTTTGACGAAAATCGTAAAAATTACCGCATTATAAAATATGACTTACCGAACTTTGCTCCAAATTATTTTTCGTTAGCAATAGCTTATCATTAAATGCAGATATAAATAAAATAACTTTATGTATCCTGCCTTCCCAACTTCCAACTCACAACAGTGGTACACACTTCCTCAATATCAGCTCTTTTTTCATATACATAATATATTTAATAAATTATTAAAAAAAATTTATAAAGTTTATCGCCTGGTTTAACATTTGTTTTTGAAATTGGAAAATGCGTTTTGGAGTTCTTCAAGATTGCAACAGTAATAGAAGGGTTTTCTTAAAACGATAAAGGGTTACATGCAAAGGGATTTCGGGATTTTCTAAATTGTTTGCTCTAATTTCGAAATTGTTTATGGAACTTCCATTTCTGAAAATTGTTCTCAAATGTGTATTATAGCTAGGATACCAACATAGTGTAGTTTCATGGTAATGAAATCTTTGTGATAAAATACAATTTTCGTTGTTTCATCGCGTTCTCGTGAAGTTAGATAAAGTTTTTTTCGTTCGTTATTTGTAAAATAAAATATTCTCGTCCGTATATGATCTCAGTTTGTTGGATTATTTTTGTACGTTGTCTATTTTTAATTTAAGCATACACTGTTTCTTGTTAACTCTATTTTCTTCTGAATTACGTAGAATTTTATATGGACTGTAAACTATATTACAATATAGTTTCTAATATAGTAATTCTTCATCGTTATGTTAATTACTGAGTACTATGATTTTCGATTCATTGTGTTATTATAAGTTTTACTTTGTGTTTTTGAGTTTGGGTTTTATTTCCCCGTCGACGCTACATGTGCCTGTTACCGATTTGTATCGAAATCAATAAATAATAAAATTGTTATAGCTAGTTATTATATTAATAGTATTGTTTGTTACTGACCACGTGAGCTTCTGTAAAATATTATAATATTGGACCTCTCG